TATATATATATATATATAATTATTCTAAAATAATTATTCTAAAATTATAATTACTGTTGAATTGTTTTAATAATCAAAGAATTAATGTTTAATTTAAATGGACTGAAAATAAACTAATAATAATAATATGGAATGTAATAATTATTTGAATGTGGAATTTTTTATTCAATAAATGCACTTTTATTTATTTTGATTATCAAAAAATAAAATAACACATTTAAAAATGTCATTTTGATCGGTTTTCTGAATAGTTGCTTGATTCTGGGTCTTCTTCAGTTGTGTGTATTGAACACTAGAGGGAGAGAGTCTGCAATTTTACATCTTCATCCTCATAAACTATGCACTCCACGTGTAGTCTAACCAAAAGATGGAGAGAATGAGTTTGTGGGAAATAATAATATCGTATTTTGCAAATTTAACAAATTAATAATGGATATTCAAAGAGCATTCTGGCTCTCAGTCATTATATTAGTGCTATCATGCCTTTCTTGGTAAAAATTGTGTTTATTTTTAAATCATTATTTCAAATTTCTCCATTCATTAAACAAAGGGCCCCAAAACCCTCATTCTGTCCTGGGATAATAGAAACTATTGGCAGCACCACAGCAGGCGCGTCATTATAACACGATATTTCCAGTGTTGTGTATTAATATGAGGTCTCTTACTTTCCTCGGAATATAAAACATTTATCGTTCATATGTACCAACAAAAGGCAAGCGAGCGACAAAGCCAGGAAGAGGAGGAGGAGGACGGGGAGCGTCCGGTAAAATCGGGTCCCGGCGTGACGTCACGTCGAGAGGTTTCCTCCTCCGTCCCACTGGCAGCGGCTGAATGGCTGATGCTGGAGACCAAACCGCGAATACTACTATGGCGAAGGCAGGCTCATTAATATTCATGACGCCAGACTGACGCTGCTCGCTATCCGCCCAATAGTAAAAGTGTCGGTTTTGAATATCAGCTAATACGTTTTGGAGGACCTACATTTGGAAACCTTTTTTTTTAAAGTCGATCAATTCCATATTTTGGAATGATTATGGTAAAAAAGGATTCATTTTTGTTACAGACTTATTAAATCACGTAGGGGATTTATAAAATTAGAGTGAATTTATTAACAGTTGGTTTAAAAATTACTTTAAATGAATACAAAAAAATGTGTTCATTGTATCTGCCCAAAATTACATCATCTTATTAAAACTACAAAATTAATATAACCATGTATCTGGCAGCTCTTCCAGAAGTTATAAAGCTCTTTCTATCATTCATTCATTTTGTTTTTGGCTTTATTAATCTGGGGTCGCCACAGTGGAATGAACCGCCAACTTTCCAGCACATGTTTTACCCAGCGGAAGCCCTTATAGCTGCAACCCATTACTAGGAAACATCCATACACACTCATTCACACACATACTACAGACAATGTAGCCTACCCAATTCACCTATAGCACATGCGTTTGGACTGTGGGGGAACCCGGAGCACCTAGAGGAAACCCACGTGAACATGAGGAGAACATGCAAACTCCACACAGAAACGGCAACTGACCCAGCCGAGGCTCGAACCAGTGACCTTCTTGCTGTGAGGTGAATGTGCAGCAGCCCTGTACCTTTCTATCATAGATAAAAAAAAAATTACTAACAATTATAATAGGAAAAACTGCAGTTGATAGTGTTCCCCCAGCAATGGTGAAATGGAAACAAGCCTTCCCTTAATTCCCTCCCCTGTAGCTGGGGTAATGCTGGGGGGGAAAAAACGTAAAATAATGGTCATTAAATTACAGAAATTTACTGTAAAACAACGGACATTAAATTACAGAAATTTACTGTAAAAAATGGTCATTAAATTACAGAAATTTACTGTAAAAAATGGTCATTAAATTACAGAAATTTACTGTAAAATAACAGACATTAAATTACAGAAATTTACTGTAAAATAACGGACATTAAATTACAGAAATTTACTGTAAAAAATGGTCATTAAATTACAGATATTTACTGTAAACAATGGTCATTAAATTACAGAAATTTACTGTATAATAACGGACATTAAATTACAGAAATTTACTGTAAAAAATGTTCATTAAATTACAGAAATTTACTGTAAAAAATGGTCATTAAATTACAGAAATTTACTGTAAAATAACAGACATTAAATAACAGAAATTTACTGTAAAATAACAGACATTAAATTACAGAAATTTACTGTAAAATAACGAACATTAAATTACAGAAATTTACTGTAAAAAATGGTCAATAAATTACAGAAATTTACTGTAAAATAACGATTATTAAATTACAGAAATTTACTGTAAAAATGGTCATTACAGAAATTTACTGTAAAATAACGGTCATTAAACTACAGAAATTTACTTTAAAATAACAGACATTAAATTACAGAAATGTACTGTAAAATAATGAACATTAAATTACAGAAATTTACTGTAAAACAACGGACATTAAATTACTGAAATTTACTGTAAAATTACGGTCATTAAATTACAGAAATTACTTAAATTTAAATTTCTGTAACTCAGACTTTGTTATTTTACAGTAAATTTCTGTAATTTAATGGCCGTTATTTCAACGGCACCCGACAGCTGCTAAAAATAAACTGTAAAATTGTGTCTTTTTTACAGTGCAGAGTAATACCAAAGCTATTAAGACAGCCTAAATGCTGAAAAAATACTTCATGTTCATGATTAATTCAGTTGTTAATTCCCTTGTACTGTTTTATGTATAATTCTGTACTCCCTGTTTAATCAATAAAAAAGTAGATTTTTTTGTTATGAAGTCTGTTTAAAATAATTATTAATTGTTAATATTATATATTCTAAATGAATCATTATCGTATTATTTGTTAATAAGAATATATGTTTATATTAAAAAACACATGGCTTTGAACAATTAAATTAACAACATGTTTAAAAGCCAGAGAGTAAAGACAATGATGGGGGAAAGCAATCAAATACTTTGTGTTTATTTTATGATTTCCACAATGTTGTAAACTGTTAATATGCTGAATGAATTGTTATCGTATTCTTTATGTTAATCAGAATATTTATATTAAAAGCACATGGCTTTGATCATTCAAAATAACAACACGAGAGACAGGAATTAAGAAAATGAAGGAGAAAAATCTAATTTAAACTGAAAAAACAAACTTATCTAAACATTCACTGTCAGATAATAAATGACCATTTGTGTGGAGTTTGCATGTCCTCCTCGTGTACCTCCGGGAGCTCTGATTTTCCTCACAAATCCAAAAACAAACATGCAGTTATTATAGGTGACTTGGGTATGCTAAATTGTCCATAGTGTTTGTGTAAATGAGTGAATGAGGCTGGAAGGGCATCCACTGCGTATCCTGGATAAGTTGGCGGTTCATTCCGCTGTGGCGACACCGGATTAACAAAGGGTCTAAGCAAAATAGAAAATAATTGAATGAACGAATGAATGAACGAATGAATGAATGAAGTTGTCTAACCAATATCATTTTCCTACCAATTTTAGGAGACCAATTTTATATTAAATACATCTATTATTCCAAAAATATGTACTTGTTTAGGGAAAATTGTGCTTAAATACCAGCATCCAAGCCAATAAAGCTTGTTTGTGTAATTTATATAAATCGTCTCTCGCTGACGTTGTCCGTTAATCCTCCAATGCGGAAGGCTTACGTTCTGCATATTAATGAGCTCAAATCTGACGTTGCCCGCCCTACAGTCCAATCCCGACGCTCATCTCATTAAAAATTAAGCAGCAGGGCCCTCGGCGTAGTAGGATACGGGTAAATTCGAGTGCTGGAGACGGGGTGCGCCGTCACCGCGCTTTCTGCATCGGGTTACGCCATTCATCCAGGGTCATTCGGTTCACCGGGGTAACGAAGATGATGATGGCCACATCACGGGCGCGCGTGCCTCCGTTTTCCTCATGACCGACCGACCGGCGGCGGCAGCAGCAGCATTATCTGCGTGCGGGTTTGGGTTTGTCTCACACCGGGCTGGCGCGGAACCGATCCCACCGTCTGGCGGAGCGTCTGCCAGGTACTGTTGTTGTTTATTTTTTCCTCCATCATCGAGCAGCATCCCGGGCAAGGCCGAGCATCCGCGCCGGAGCATCACTGGTCGCGGCGGCCAGTGATGCTCCGGCGCGGATGCTCGGCCTTGTCCGGGATGCTGCTCGGACGCAAGACACCCTTATTTATTTATCTCTCCAAATCTATTTTGATCTCAATCAGCGCAACATTGCGTTTTAAACGCATCCAAACCACACGCTGAGATGCGTGGTGCTGTTATTATTGATGCGCGTCCACCATTTTACGCATTTCGGCCAAACAGAAAACAAGAGCGCGCACGTTTCACATCCTCCTCCAGCATAAATGCATGTGTGTGTTTGTATTGTTATCAGACAACCGTGTTTCGCACAGACACTCGTGTGTTGGTGTGTGACTGTATGTGTGTGTGTGTGTGTGTTATAGGCACGTTTGTTCATGTTCATGATGAGCTGTCAGTTCTGCTGTGTGTATGTGTGTGTGCCTGTTTATTATGATGGCGATAGATTATATAACTGAAGCTCAAAATGACACAAAAGCCACTGCTTCATTGTGTTTATTGTGACTCGTCATGTTAATTGCTGTCACATCACTGTGTGTGTGTGCGCGCGCGCGCGTGCGTGTGTGTGTGATGTCCAACCGTGTCCGCCATTGTTTTTGTTGACATTGGTTTGGTGGCTGCTGTCGTACATCTCGTTTTTTTTGATAACGGAATTAGGCGTTGATTTTATTAATCATTATGTTCAAATGAGTTTCTTAAACGTAGAATGTGGTTTTGTTTATTTAATTTAATCAAATGTTGTGTTTTTATATAAGAATTAAGATTAAGTATGGTGAAACTGGGAAAAATGCTTTATGGGGAAAAGCGTGTATTATTACAATGTTTTCTTATTTATTCATTACTTGACTTGTATAATTAATTATTAATCTTTTTTAACAAAATTTGTGTGCTGTAATCAGGAAGCCATTTTGTTGTCATGTGACAAGAAAAACAAAACAGAGAGCTGCTTTAGACTGCTTTAAATATCACATATTGTGACCTTTTTATGAAATTTCATGCTTAGATTAGGGAGAGCGAGTCTTAATATTTTACCTTAAGTTGATTTATGTGTTTTTCCTTCAATATTTGGTATTCGGCTTGAACATAATATTGAAGCTTTATAAATATAGAATCTGAAATATAACCTTTATAAATGCATATTTCAGGTACAAGTAAAAATAATCATACAATGTATGCAAATGTTATTTTTTTAAATGATAAATGCATTATAATTACTCTTTTTCTTGACATCCTTAACATATGTATAATGCTACTCAAGCAGACGTCATGTGTGATGATGGTGCGCAGGCTTTTTTTATTATTCATGGTACAAAATGATGTCATGTATTGATAATGTAAGACAGTGATGCTGTAGGTTATGGTGAACTCTTTAATGTAGAACAGCAAATAGATGTTTATTAATTAAAAATAGATCAAACATGAACGTGCAACTGTTCTTCTATGTACCAGTGCTATTTTATAATAGATTAGTTGGATCAGAAGATTATAAGATTGTAATATTTATTCAGAGTTGCATGTGTTCGATTGTGAGGCTGATTCTCAGGTCCTAAATAATACAGTTTTGATTTTGTAAGTCAATTTTAAAGTTAATTTTAAAATCGGCAAGAAATCCAAATTTACAGTGTTTATTTTGCTAGCTCATATTCTTATTTTTGAGGTGAATAATTAACCCATGCAAGTTAATCTACTGAAAAAACAGTTTGTTTTGGTAATCTTTAATAAAATTCTGGTATTTAGCTTCCGCATTTCAAGTGGCGATACTTCTGTTAACGTCAATCTGAAGGCTTCCATAGCAACTTTTAACTTTTACGCCCCTTTTACCGTTAGTTTGCTATGAGGGAATGTCACACAAAAAGAAAGCCCCGGCCCTACTCAATAGTCAGATTCAGCTGGAACTACATCAACATACTAAAAGTATCAGCAACATCAGGTTCATGCGGACTTTAAGGTTATATGTTTGATGATGCAGTTAAAATGTAGAGATCTATGTTTGATTTTAAGGTAATTAAGAAGTTAATTTTGCTCATATTCTTATTTTTAAGGTGAATAATTAATCCCTGCAAGTTAATACACTGAAAGAAAACAGTTTGTTTTGGTAATCTTTATTCAAATTCTGGTATTTTGTTTCCGCATTTCAAATGGCGATATTTCTGTTAATGTTAATCTGAGGGCTTCCATAGAAACCGCATATTAATATTTTTAACCACGCCCCTTTTACCGTTAGTTTGCTATGAGGGAATGACACACAAAAAGAAAGCCCCGCCCCTACTCAATAGTCAGATTCAGATGGAATTAACATACTAAAAGTATCAGCAACTTCAGGTACATGCGGACTTTAAGGTTATATGTTTGATGATGCCGTTAAAATGTAGAGATCTAGGTTTGATTTTAAGGTAATTAAGAAGTCAATTCCCTACTAAAAAACAGCTTAAACCAGCCTAGGTTGGTTGGCTGGTTTAAGCTGGTCGACTAGGCTGGTTTTAGAGGGGTTTTGGCCATTTCCAGGCTGGTTTCCAGCCATTTCCAGCCTGGTCTTAGCTGGTCAGGCTGGGACATGACCAGCAAACACCAGCTTGACCAGCCTAGACTGGCTGGGAGCCCAGCCCAAACCAGCTATGTCCAGCTTAAACCAGGCTGGTCAAGCTAGTTTTAGCTGGATTTAGCTGGTCATTTTTCAGCCTGACCAGCTAAGACCAGGCTGTAAATGGCTGGAAACCAGCCTGGAAATGACCAAAACCCCTCTAAAACCAGCCTGGTCAACCAGCTAAAGCCAGCCAACCAGCCTAGACTGTTTTAAGCTGGATTTTTCATCAGGGTTTTTTATATTCTTATATATTTCTATATTCTTTCCATATTCTTATTTTTAAGGTGAATAATTTATCCCTGCAAGTTAATGCACTGAAAGAAAACTTGTTTGTTTTGGTAATCTTCATTCAAATTCTGACCATTTTGCTTCCGCGTTTGGATTGGCGATCCTTTTGTTGTCAACTTTAAGTCTTCCATAGCAACTGCATATTAATATTCTTAACCACACCCCTCTTACTGATGGTTTGCTATGAAGGAAAGCCCCATCTTCTACTCAATATTCCAATTCAGTTGGAGGTACATCAACAAACTGTAGGAAAAGAATCAGCAACTTCAGGTTCATGCAGGCTTTAAGGTTATATGTTTGACCATGCAGTTAAAATGTAGAGATCTAGGTTTGATTTTAAGGTAATTGAGAAGTTTATTTTGTTCATATTCTTATTTTTATGTTAAATATTAAATCCGTGCAAGTTAATCCACTGAAAAAAACATGCATGTTTTGCTAATCTTCAATCAAATTCTGACTATTTGCTTCCCAGTTTGGATGGGCGATCCTTCTGTTGACGTCAATCTGAGGGCTTCCATAGCAACTGCATATTAATATTCTTATCAACATACTGAAATAAAAGCAATACAAGAGATCTAGGTTTGGTTTTAAGGTAATTGAGAGGTTGATTTGATGTTTTATTGATTGTATATTGTTTGTATTTCTAGTGTTCAGTGGTAGAGATGATACTTGAGATTCATTCTGAGCATCTGATGTTGATTTAAGATGTTCTTTTAAAGGATGAATTCACCAAAAAAGGAAATTTGGTTATTAATAATTGCTCACCCTCAACTGTTGTTCCTTCATTCATCTTTGGAACACAAATTAAGATATTTCAGATGAAATCAAGAGCTCTATCATCCTCCATAGACAGCAATGGTCCTGAGACCATTAGAAGTCCACATATAGTTCACAATCGGGATCTCCTGCCACGCTTGTAATATAAGAGAACATTTAATGAAATAAAATGAATGCCAATTAGGCATGGGATGATAACCGTTTTCAAGGTATACTGAGGTTTGGAAACAGCAAGGTTTTAAAATCTTCTGCTTTACCGTACCTAAGGTTTCTGTAAGATTTAAGATTATCTTCAGCGGAAAAGATATCCAAAGATGCCGTTTTAACTTGTCAGGAAATCTGTGTCTATGAAACAAATGAAGACAGCAGAAGTCAATGATTTAATGAAATTATTTAGCCTGACATGTTTACTGCTGCAAAATATTTTAAATGTTTCTCAAAATAAAATATATATTGTGTTTAAAGGGGAAAATGCTTTTCAGACATTTAAAAAGAATATATTATCTTACTGTCAGAATCTTATACCGGCCCATACCTAATGCCAATGCATTTCAGCCTTTGGAAAGTTTGTATTTGATGTGTTTTGGTGTTTCCTGTGAGGGCTGGTTTAGGGGTTGAGGGGGAGAATATAGAGTCTGTATACTAGTATAAAAGCTGTTACATCTATGAGAATCCCTGTAATGACAGCTGTACATGTGAGTGTGTGTGCGCGCACAGGTTTATGTGGTTTATAGGGACACAAAGTTGATATTATCATTTATTATTGGTTTATCTGTTCCTTATTATTATTATTATTATTATTATTATTATTATTATTATTTATTTTTCACTTTATTTATATAATATTTATTTTTTGTTCAGTGTTGTTGTTATCTTTTAATTTTTTTATTTGTTTATTTACTGGTTTCTTTTTTGGTTTATTATTATTATTATTATTATTATTATTATTATTACTATTATTTTTATTATCATTCATTCATTCATTTTCTTGTCGGCTTAGTCCCTTTATTAATCCGGGGTCGCCACAGAGGAATGAACCGCCAACTTATCCAGCAAGTTTTTACGCAGCGGATGCCCTTCCAGCCGCAACCCATCTCTGGGAAACATCCACACACACATCCTCACACATACCACAAACATTTTACCCTACCCAATTCACCTGTACCGCATGTCTTTGGACTGTGGGGGAAACCGGAGCACCCGGAGGAAACCCACGCGAAGGCAGGGAGAACATGCAAACTCCACACAGAAACGCCAACTGAGCCGAGGTTCGAACCAGCGACATTCTTGCTGTGAGGCGACAGCACTACCTACTGCGCCACTGCCTCGCCCGCTTTTCAGACATTTAAAAAGAATATATTATCATACTGTCAGAATGTTATACCGGCCCATACCTAATGCCAATGCATTTCAGCCTTTGGAAAGTTTGTATTTGATGTGTTTTGGTGTTTCCTGTAAGGCAGGGGTGCTCAATCCCCTACCTTCCTGCAGATTTCAGATGCTACCCATATCAAACACACCTGAACCAATTAATTAGGACCTGAACACCATGTGATAATTACAGGCAGGTGTGTTTGATATGGGTAGCAACTGAAATCTGCAGGAAGGTAGATCTCCAGGAACAGGATTGAGCACCCCTGCTGTAAGGGTTGGTTTAGGGGTTGAGGGGGAGAATATAGAGTCTGTATACTAGTATAAAAACTGTTACATCTATGAAAATCCCTGTAAATACAGCTGTATATGTGAGTGTGTGTGTGCACAGGTTTATGTGGTTTACAGGGACACAAAGTTGTTTTTGACAGGGGTATGGCCTAGTTGTTCTCCATTGAGGTTGTTTAAAGAGACGCACCTCGTGTCCCTGTAATACGAAATGCTTAAAAATAATACTCAACGAGGTCATTTTGCACTCAGAATTGGCCACAGGTTTCTTGCCAGATTTGTTTTAGGGGTAGGTGTGAGGTATAATAAGTGTTTCATACTGTATACAATACACTACGCCTATAGAGTGTCCCTGTAAACCATGTATACAAGAATGTGTGTTTGTGCATAAGCCATCGCCTCAGCATCCAGTGTGTGAGAGGAAGAGAAGGCCACGGAAGAGGCGGGAGAAATTTCCCTGCTCCTAACAATGACTTTATTTCTCATGGAAGTGTGTGTGTGTGTGTGGGAGAGGGCCGCAAGCGGAAGAGAATGACCCGTGTGTGTTTTCTCTCCTCTGTTGTTTCCTTCCAGGCTGAGTCACCACTGGAGTGTCTGAAGGGTCGCGAGAAAGTGAAGGAGGAGACATTACATCACTGCGGGCTGAGAGAGAGAGAGCGGCACACGAGCACTGACCTCTGACCCCGGAGCCAACATGAACGACCTGAACGTCGTGAAAGAGGGATGGGTGCAGAAAAGAGGTGAGAAACTAACTTTGATTTACATGTTGATGGTCAGCAATTCAATATGTGAGGGATAAAGTACATCCAGGAGGTCGTTATTGCAGAATAAAGCTCGACAGGTCTATCATTGTCAAATCTTCAGCAGTTAATCGTGACAAGAACATTTGCTATCATAATAAGCCTAGTTCATGAGTTATAATAACAGGACTGTAAATATTGCATGTTGTCTTCTGCATGTTTTATTGTATGCAGGTTTTAATCATTTAATTGCTTGTACAGGTGAGTACATTAAGAACTGGAGGCCGCGGTACTTCCTGTTAAAGACGGACGGCTCGTTTATTGGCTATAAAGAGAAGCCGCAGGATGCAGATCTGGCGTATCCGCTCAACAACTTCTCTGTCGCCAGTGAGTCGCTCTCATTATCAGACTCCTTTTTCAGGGGAATCAACATGTTGAATGGCTCTCAGACTATAAATATGTGCTGATGCTAATGTTTTCAAAAGACTTTCAGATGTAAGGGTCTGTTTGCAAGGGACTGTCTCGAAAGTATTAAATAAATATGATAAAGTTAGACTATATATATATATATATATATATATATATATATATATATATATATATATATATATATATATATGTAAAATATAGATATATAGATGTATATAGAAAAGAGAACAGATAGGAGTCACTAAAATATAGAAAAAAATCCTTGAATTTAATTATTAAAAAAATTTGTATTAATAAATATAATAAGTATTATTATTATTATTATTAATCCTACTGCTATTATTATTTATTTATTTCTTGGTTAATTTACTTATATTAATTCTTTATTATTATTATTACAATCTGTTATTATTATTGTTACTACAACTATAATAGTAATAATATTTATAATAATATTAATAATAATAATAATTATTATTAATAATATTTATATTTTTTTCTCTGTTTAATTTGTAATCATTATTTTTTATTAGTTTATTTTTGATTTTATTATTATAATTATTATCATCATTTATTATTGGTTTATCTGTTCCTTATTATTATTTATTGATTGATTTATTTATTTTTCACTTTATTTATATAATATTTACTTTTTGTTCATTATTGTTGTTATCATTTAATATTTTTATTTGTTTATTTATAGTTTTTTTGTTTATTATTATTATTATTATTACAACAGTAATTTTATGAGATGTTTTATGAGAATTTTTCATCATTATACTTATAATAATTATTATTATAAGTATTATTATCATTATTATTATTAAGTATTATTTGTTTATCTGATAATTTTTTTATTTATTACTATTATTATTTATATATTTTTCAAGTAATTTTTTTGCTTTGTTATTATCATTTAATATTTATAATTTATTCATTGGTTCTTTTTTGTTTATTATTATTATTATTATTATTATTATCATCATCATAATCCTAATCATCATTTTCATCACTTTTTTTCTGATCATGAAATCGATGTTTCGTTTGTTAATTGCATCAGATCAGTTTGCTGTTCTCCAGATCCGTGACTCACTCAGTTCAGTCAAAGCAAACGGAATCATCATGCGTGATTTCATCAGAGCGAGCCTGAATCTGTAATAAGAGACGACGAAACTGTTATTCCACATAAACAAGCGTGTGTGTTTTGCTGTTGTGTTTGGTCAGAGTGTCAGCTGATGAAGACTGAGAGACCGAAACCAAACACCTTCATCATCAGGTGTCTGCAGTGGACCACTGTGATCGAGCGCACCTTCCATGTCGACACGCCAGAGGAGAGGTAAAACACGCTAAAACACGCAAGCTAGCCAACCAATGAGGATGCAGTCAACAACTGAATAACATTTACAGGGCATGGAAATCCTTGATGATTGTATCTAGTGTATTGAAGGTTTAAATAGTGCATATATTGTGGATGAAGTGCTTGAAAATGTAATTGTTGCTTTTATAATAATTTATCCTAGTAAATAGTTAATAAAAATGATATATTCAATAATTAATTAGTTGTTTTGTATTGAGTGAAAAGCACATACATGCTAAATACATAAATGCTTTGAACACATAATAGTAAACATGTATATATAACAGATGAATGATAAATAAATAACATCACTTAATGATAATAATAATAATAATAATAATAATGTTTGGACTGTGGGGTAAATGGGAACACCCGGAGAAAACCCACAACAACACTGGGAGAACATGCAAACTGACCCAGCTGGTACTCGCACCAGTGACCTTCTTGCTTAGAGGCAACGGTGCTAACCACTAAGCCACCGTGTCGCCCTCTGATGCATATCGGCTAATTGAATTATTCTTTTTTTTTTTGAACCAGGGACGAGTGGGTCGAGGCCATTCAGATGGTGGCAGACAAGCTGGCCAAACAGGAGGAAGAAGGAATCCTGTGTAGCCCAATTTCTCAGATTGAAAACGTCAACGAGGAGGAGATGGACACGTCAACCAGTCATCACAAACGAAAGGTAGACTCTCTGCCAGGAGCAGAAGCGTTGTACCTTGAGGTTCACAGGGATCGTGAACCTGAGAAATTAAAAAAGTTTTGAGCAGCAGTCGGCACTCTAAGCTAATTGTTTACAGCAGAAGATGCGCTAGGCTAGTTTTCAACAGAAAAAGGTGCTCTAGGGCTAATTTTGAAAAGCAGACAGCGCTTTGGGCTAGTTTTGAACAGCAGATAACGCTCTAGGCTAGTTTTATTAAGCACATTTTGAACAGCAGATGACACTAGGCTAGTTTTGAACAGCAGGTGAAGCTCTAGGCTAGTTTTGAACAGCAGGTGAAGCTCTAGGCTAGTTTTGAACAGCAGAAGATGCTCTAGGCTAGTTTTGAACAGCAGACGGTGCTCTATGCTAGTTTTGAACAGCAGAAAGTGATCTAGGCTAGTTTTGAACAGCAGATGGTGCTCTAGGCTAGTTTTGAACAGCAGATGGTGCTCTAGGCTAGTTTTGAACAGCAGAAGGTGCTGTAGGCTATTTTTGGACAGCAGATAACGCTCTAGGCTAGTTTTGAACAGCAGATGGTGCTCTAAGCTAGTTTTGAACAGCAGAAGATGCTCTATGCTAGTTTTGGACAGCAGATAACGTTTTAAGCTAGTTTATAACAGCATATAAAGCTCTAGGTTAATTTTAAACAGCAGAAGATGCTGTAGGCTAGTTTTGAACAGCAGATAACGCTCTAGGGAAGTTTTGAACAGCAGATAACACTCTAGGCTAGTATTTTTTTTAGCTCATTCTAAATAGCATTTGGCACTCTAGGCTAGTTTTGAATAGCAGTTGATGTTCTAGGCTAGAGTTGAAGGCTAGTTTTGAAAAAGTTTTGAGTTTGTTTTGAAAAGCTTACAATGCTCTTGGCTAGTTTTTAACACCAGATGGTGCTATAGGCTAGTTTTGAACAGCTGATTGAGCTCTAGGCTAGTTTCAAACAGTAGATGGCGCTTTAGGCTAATTTGGTACTGCAGAAGATGTTTTAAGCTAGTTTTGAACAGCAGAACACGCTCTAGGCTAGTTTTTTAACAGCAGAAGACATCCACAGTAAATAGATAGTGCTTTAGCCTAGAGCACCATCTACTTTTCAAAACTAGCCTAGAGCGTCTTCTGCTGTTCAAAACTTGCCTAGAGCGTCTTCTGCTGTACAAAACTAAGCTAAGGATTAAGATTTTTGAAAATCTCAGAATTGATGCAGAATTGATTTCTTTAAAATATCCTGTAAGTTTATTAAATCAGCACGTTGTCGTTACTCTAAAATTAGCTTATTTTTAAGGCTGGAATGCTCTACTCTATGATGTAATATGGGGAGTAAGCCACACCTCCACAGAAGATTGACACCTGCTTCTACTTCACTGCCCGTTTAGCCTAATTAATATGCAAAACTGTCAGCCAATCAGAGCAGTGGGTGTTTTCTTCTCACTCTAAAATCTCATTCTAATGAGGGTCAAAAACAGGCCATAAAATAGTCAATTACTAAAAATCTGTGTGGACCTCAGAGAACTGTACAATATAAACAGCATGTAGTAGTTGATGACCCATTTAACATACATGCTCATTCATGTGGTTCTCGTCTCTGACAGACAATGAATGACTTTGACTATCTGAAGCTGCTGGGTAAAGGCACGTTCGGGAAGGTGATTCTGGTGCGAGAGAAAGCCAGCGGCACGTATTATGCAATGAAGATCCTGAAAAAGGAGGTTATTATTGCCAAGGTATGAAATCCTTTTTACTTGCTACTAATTAAATTATCACAATTGTATTTAAGCAACTTTTTTAATTAGCATGTCTGAAATGTAATCACTTGTTTTAGTCAATTTAATCACCGCTCCCAATGCTGTTTAAAATCCCCATGAATCTCAATGCATAGACAAATTAAACTAATTAAATCTATTAATTATAATAAACTATTATTTTAATTATTTCGCCCCATTCACACGGGGCTTCAACGTCAAGGCTTCCCATTCACTTTGAATGGGTGACGTCAGGCGTTGCCGAACTGCATTGTGGATTTGTCGGCGCTGCTTCAGAGGCGTTGCTCGCTGCAGAAGTTGGGACTAGCTCAACTTTTCAAGCGCCGACTGAAGCGTCAGCCAATCAGATCGCTGTATGCAAATACACCAGTTAGACAGTGGCCTATTGCTGACTGAATTTCATTGGCTGACGCTTCTATGACGATCGCGTTAGCCCCAACTTCAGACACACCCTTCAGTCAAGCGTTGACGTTGAAGCCCCGTGTAAATAGGGCGTTAGAATTAGGGCCTTTTATCTGTATTAAAAAATATATATATATGTTAGCTTTGTAAAGTTTTCAAAATGACATTTAGTTAAATTGAATTACTCTGCAATAAATAAATAAATAAATAAATAAATAAACATTGACCAAAACATGAAAAAACATTTTAGACCGATGACCTCATATTTTTTCCCAGAGATGGGTTGAGGCTAGAAGGGCATCCGCTGCGTAAAAACTTGCTGGATAAGTTGACGGTTCATTCCGCTGTGGCGACCCCGGATTAATAAAGGGACTAAGCCAACAAGAAAATGAATGAATGAATGACCTCATATTTTATACATGCCCTATACTGTCTTTAGTTTAATTCATTGTTTTATGTGCTATCGTCCTGTTAAATAATCTTCTTTAGTTGAAAACCAGAATTAATCTGCAAAATATATTTGTATAACAAACAAAAAATACCATTACTCCTCTTCTCCGAATTGAGTTGTACAAAAATATTCACCCTTTGGTACATTTATTTACTGCGATTCAATTCAATTAATGTTTATATAATAATGTTGTGTCAAAGCAGCTTAACATAGAAGTTTCATAGTATCCAGCTATCTATAAGTGTTTATAAATATTTTATTATACATGTTTGTATGATACCTATATGTTTTCATACCTATAAATACATGTAATTAAATTTCTTTAAAATGAAACGCAATCCCTTACTTTACTTTTTCAGCATATACAGCAGGGAAAAGAAGTATTGAGCACGTCACCATTTTTCTCAGACCACATATTTCTAAAGGTGCTGTTGACTTAAAATTTTCCCTGGATGTTGGTAACAACCAAAGAAATCCATGTATGCAAATAAAACCAATCTAATTTGTTCACAAGTCAAGTTATGTATAACAATATGAAATGATGCAGGGGAAAAGTATTGAACACATGAAGAAAGGGAGGTGTAAAAAGACATGGAAAGCCCAGACAGCAGCTGAAATCTCTCAGTAGTTCTTCAACAACCCTGTACCCTTCCTCAATGTAAATGAATATCAGCTGCTTCAGTCCAACGTCTACATTAGCAGGAGGATGAAGATGAAACCAGAGTGGACATTTCAGCAAGACAATGATCCAAAACACAGCCTAGCAGACTCTCAAATGCGTTCAGAGAAAGAAAACCAAGTTGTCATTTCATTGTTATTACACACAACTTAGTTTTCAGATTTTTTTTGTTTGTTTTATTTTTAAGTTTGTATTGTTTGAGTTTTTACCAAAAACTGGTTCAACTTCATGTCAACAGCAAGAAAGAAATATTAGAAATATTATTCCTAGGAAAAAACATGACGTGTTCAATACTTATTTCCCCCACTGTATATAAATCCGGCGCTCTGAGGACAGATGGAACAGAGAAACTATGAACGTCACATTACATGAAGATCTCAAACTGTCTGTCTGTTTTTCAGGATGAAGTTGCTCACACACTCACGGAGAGCAGAGTTTTGAAGAACACTAGGCACCCATTTCTAACTGTGAGTGACCTCATGATTTTAATAAATATATACAGTTGAAGTCAGAATTATTAGCCCCCCTGAATTATTAGTGCCCCTGTTTATTTTTTCACCAATTTCTGTTTAATGGAGGGAAGATTGTTTCAGCACATTTCTAAGCATAATAGTTTTAAAAATTTATTTCTAATAACTGATTTATTTTATCTTTGCCATGATGACATTTAATATTATTTGACTAGATATTTTTCAAGACACTTCTATACAGCTTAAAGTGACATTTAAAGGCTTAACTGGGTTAATTAGGTTAACTAGGCAGGTTAGGGTAATTAGGCAAGTTATTGTATAATGATGGTTTGTTCTGTCGATTATTGAAAAAAAAATTGCTTAAAGGGGCTAATAACTTTGTCCCAAAAATGTTTTTAAAAAAATTAATAACTGCTTTTAATCTAGCCAAAATAAAACAAATAAGACTTTCTCCAGAAGAAAAAATACTATCAGACACACTGTGAAAATGTCCATGCTCTGTTAAACATCATTTGGGAAATATTTAAAAAAATAAGATAAAATCAAAAGGGGGCAAATAATTCTGACTTCAACTGTATATTTTGGGTAAATCCTGCTTAAATCAAACTGCCATCAGCCATTTAAAATCAACATCATTTTGTTTTGACCTGAGATTCAAATGGAAAGCTTGTTTATTAATTGTTCGTCTTTCTTCCTGCAGTCACTGAAGTATTCCTTTCAGACGAAGGATCGATTATGTTTTGTTATGGAGTATGTGAATGGAGGAGAGGTAACATGATTCTTTCTTTTAGACTTTCACATCAACTTTCTCTCCAGAGTTTAAGCTTTCTTTCTGTCTTTTCAAAGTGTTTTTTACATTTCTAAAGCTGAGATTTTTATTCTCTTAGTTTTTTAAAAGTTTTCTTTTAATCTTTATTTTTAAATGTCTTCAGGCTTCAGAATTGTTCATTTCTTTCTCTCTTGTGACAAGGTTCTTACACCTTTTCCAACTTCAAACTCCAGCACTTTTCAAGCACTTTCAAGCTGCATTTGTATGCTTTTCCAGCAATTCATAACCACGGTTATTTACCTTTATATATGTTGTATGTACTTTTTCACATTTATGGCACGTTCCATTGAGCCATTTTAAAAAACACAATATGACATTTCAACTTAAATTCTTGAGTACTTTCGAGCATAGATTTATTGGGATAGTTCACCCAAAAATGATAAAAATAAATAAATAAATAAATAAATAAAAAAAGTTCAGTTATTGGATGAAGTATGTTTTTAAGTTTGGTCTCTTTCTACTTAAAGTTTATATCTCATGAAATAAGCTTACAGTCAGATTTTGTTTGTGTGTAGTACCAAACTTTCATGATCAGTCGTTCATGATATTTCATGTGCATTGTTATTGTTTTTACAGTTATTGGATTGGTATTTCAGGTGCAAAGATGCATTATGGGTGAATGTCTCCTAAATACATGGAAAGCTAATCGTGCCAAAACAATCTGAATTTAAATTGTGTTAATTTGAATTCTTAAAAACTTAAAACTGTATTTTTACATGCCCAATATCTGCAGTCTTTGAATTCAGAACCCCAAAAAAATCAGAAGTTCTATAAAAACCTGACTTAAAAAATTAAGTTGTCTTAAATTTCAGATGTTTAATGATCAAGTTAAGAAATACAAATTCAAAACATTTCTAATAGCTTATAATCAGTATTATTAACTTACATTTGTTAATAATTCAGTTGAACACACTTCAAATTCAGATTGTTTTGGCTTATTATTAGCTCCATAAATACGCGCATGCGGTGAACATTTTGCAATGAAAACTGATCGCACGACAACAATATATGCACTCGCACATATGCTCCCAAATATATTTTGAGGTCACATAGATAAAATTGTGCGAATATGCAACCAAAACAGTCACAATTTCAAACCCTGCAAATATAAATTCAAGCAGGTTCAAGCACTTTTCTAAGCTTGAAAACACTATATAAAAAATCAAGCATTTTCCAGGATTTCCAGCACCCGTAAGAACCCTGTTGTGACTATTTGAACTTTTCTTTTTGAACATTCAGCCTTTTTACTCGACGTCTCTCTTTATTTCAGTGTTTTTGTTTCTTCCTCGGAGCGTGTGGGAATGATGCAGTAATGATATAAAAGGGCAGCATTTATAATAAACTGAACTCGTAACACTGATGACTCGTGCTGATGTCATCATCATATCTATATGATGTAATCAAATGTCAGACTGTTTTTCCATCATCTGAGTCATTTACTCTGGCATGGCTGATCTCAGAAATGAACTTAAACATAGAAGCTACATCTTAAAGATCCATTATTATTTTATTATCGAAAATAGCTGTTAACACAAGCACTTTGAGAACATTACTGAAAGATTGTAGCATAATTGAAAGATAATATAATAGTTGTTGGCAGCAAGGGGGCTCAGTGGTTAGCGCTGTCGCCTCACAGCTAGAAGGTTGCTGGTTTGAGTCCCGGCTGCGCCAGTTGGCATTTCCGTGTGGAGTTTGCATGTTCACCCTATGTTGGCGTGGGTTTCCTCCAAACACATGCGCTATAGGTGAATTGGTTGAAACTAAATTGTCCGTAGTGTATGAGTGTGTGTGTAAATGTGAGAGTGTATGGGTGTTTCTCAGTACTGGTTGCAGCTGAAAGGGTATAACATATGCTGAAATAGTTGGCGGTTCATTACGCTGTGGCGACCTCTGAAATAGAAACTAAGCTGAAGGATAATGAATCCCTGAATGAATAATAATTGTTGCATTAGCCATTGGAGATTATGATTTTGTAAATTAGATATTTGACAATAAAGTGATTTATTGATCATATGTTATAATATTTTAAGGATAATATATTAAAGGGGAGCCTTTTTCACAAGATGTAAAATAAGTTTCTGATGTCCCTAGTGTGTGTGTGTGAAGTCTCAGCTCAAAATACCACACACACAATCTTAAATAACGCTTTGAAACTGCTTCTTGTAGGTTTTTGATGCTAATTGTGCCATTTTAGCGACTGTCGCTTTAAATTCAATTGAGATTTTCAAGAGGGCGGAGCTTTGTGGCAGATTCAAAACTGTAGTGGCGGACGGCTGCTTCTCACTTAAGGCTGTTTATTCTAATTAGGGAGAAATGGTCACTAATGGGCGGGGCTTTCCCCCTCTGATGACACGCACAAAGGCAGAATGTCAATCAAAGTGTTTTTCCAGAGTTTTTATCATGATTATAAAAAATAGACTTGCATATTTACTATTAGAAGCTGGTTATATTCACACACTGAAGCAACACAAATGTATTTAAACCCCTTATAATATTTTTTTTTCTCGCATAACAGGTCCCTATGCTAAGCAACACCCCTTTAACAGTTAGTGAAAGATGATAGAAGCGCAAAATCAAAGTCACGCCCCCTAATTAATATTCATTATTAGTTGGAAATATATTATCATTCTGAAATATAAGTCTGCAATAATAATTGATTTGTTTTTATCTTTGTCATGATGACAGCAAATAATATTTGACTCGATATTCTTCAAGATACCAGTATTCAGCTTAAAGTGACATTTACAGGCTTAACTAAGTTAATTAGGCAGGTTCGGGTAATTATTGTATAAAAAAAAAGTTATTGTATAATGATGGTTTGTTCTGTACACTACTGAAAACAAATATTGCTAATAATAATATAAGGGGCTAACAATATATAACACCTTAAAATGGTGTTTAAAAAATTTTAAACTTTTTCTTGCCAATATAAATCAAATAAGACTTTCTCCAGAAAAAAAAAAAAAACATTTTAGGCTTGGGCGGTATCCAAATTTTGATACCGTCAAACCTCCTCCCTATTTTACCCCGGTATTCGGTATTACCGTGCATAATAAAAAAAAGATGACGTAAGGCTCAGACAGCGTCACCAAACTGTTGGCTTGTGCCTAAATCATTTAGAAACTGAATACCGTATATGCGACCTGAGGTTCGCGGTCACCTGTTTGTCTTGTTCGTATTAGAGATCTGTGTGGGACAAACACACAGAGAGCGCTAGAGAGACGCACAGCACCACACTCTCTCTCTCTCTCTCTCATTCACACACACACACACACACACAGAGCGAGAGAGAGAGAGAGAGACGCACAGCACCACACTCTCTCTCTCTCTCTCTCTCTCTCTCTCTCTCATTCACACACACACACACACACACAGACACAGACAGAGCGAGAGAGAGAGACGCACAGCACAACACTCTCTCTCTCTCTCTCATTCACACACACACAGAGCGAGAGAGAGAGACGCACAGCACCACACTCTCTCTCTCTCTCTCTCTCATTCTCACACACACACACACACACACACAGAAAGAGAGAGAGCACCAAGCGACACACAGACAGCATGCTCTCTTATTTACACAAACACACACATACACATACACTGCAGGTGACTTGGTGCGCGACTCAATCTTACCTTACGTCTCTCTCTCTCTCTCTCCTCCACACTGTCCCGTCATGACAATCACGCATACGCTTTTGTAGGCATTAAATAAATAACACTTATTATTTCATACTTGTCTCCTATTGAAGTGCATTGTTTTTATGACGGTATAGCGGTATTGAAACTGACACCGTTGCTATTTTTAGATCCCGCGGTATACCATATTACCGCCCAAGCCTATTAGACATACTGAGAAAATTTCCTTGCTCTGTTAAACATCACTTGGGAAATATGTCTGCTTTCTTAAGGTTGTTCTTCTCATTCGTTGTTGCAGTTGTTTTTTCATTTGTCGAGAGAACGAGTGTTTTCGGAGGACAGAACCCGATTCTACGGCGCTGAGATCGTTTCCGCGTTAGATTACTTACACTCAGCGAAGATTGTTTACCGAGACCTGAAGGTGAAAAAACAGTGACACACACATCATAACATGCATCAGAAACAGTATCTTTAGCATTGTTAGTTGACCTGAAGATAATGAACGTGTGTTTATATATATGTGTGTGTGTGTGTGTGTTCCTCCAGCTGGAAAACCTGATGTTGGATAAAGACGGTCACATAAAGATCACTGATTTCGGCCTGTGTAAGGAGGGCATCACGGACGCCGCCACCATGAAGACGTTCTGTGGGACCCCGGAGTATTTAGCCCCTGAGGTATGGCTGGGTGCTTTATCTGTTTGAATGCAGCACTGGAAATATATACGTACACAAACACAATAACACAAGCACACTCACTCATTCTTATAAACACTTATTCTCACTCTCTCTCACTCACTCACTCACTCACAGTAATGTTCTGCATGCCGTGGTATTCTGTGTTCTCTCTCAGGTATTGGAGGACAATGATTACGGTAGAGCCGTGGACTGGTGGGGTCTAGGAGTCGTCATGTATGAGATGATGTGTGGACGTCTGCCCTTTTATAACCAGGTATGAAACACTGCAGTAGCTCATGCTGAATAATGGGGGGAAATTATTATTTCATCAAAATTACAGTAATATTGTGAAGCATTATTACTCATCAAAATTAGAGTTTTATATTTGAATGAAAATTTCACAGGAGGGATAATAATATGATGGAAACATGCTGTTTTTCTCATTTTTTGGGGGGGAAATTGTAAAATGGAAATACCTGGTAACATACACTCATCAGCTGCTTCATTAGGTGCACCTCACTAGTGCCGGGTTGGACCCCTTCTTGCCTTAATCCTTCATGTCAGAGATTCAACAAGATACTGGAAATATTCCTCAGAGATTTTGCTCCATATTGACATGATAGCATCACACAGTTGCTGCAGATTTGTCGGCTGCACATCCATGATGCGAATCTCCCATTCCACCACATCTCAAAGGTGCTCAATTGGATTGAGATATGGTACTGTGGAGGCCATTTGAGTACAGTGAACGCATTGTCATATTCAAAAAAACAGTCTGAGAAGATTCCTGATTTATGACATGGGGCGTTATCCTGCTGGAAGTAGCCATCAGAAGATGAGTCCACAGTGTTTATAAAGGAATGGACATGGTCAGCAAATATACTCAGGTAGGCTGTGGCGTTGACACAATGCTCAATTGGTACTAATGGACCCAAAGTGTGCCAAGAAAATATTCCCCACACCATTACACCACCACCACCAGCCTAAACCGGTCTTACAAGGCAGGATGGATCCATGCTTTCATGTTGTTGATGCCAAATTCTGACCCGACCATCCGAACGTGACAGCAGAAATGGAGACTCATCTGGCCAGGCAACGTTTCTCCAATCTTCTATTGTCCAATGTTGGTGAGCCTGTCTGAATTGTAGCCTCAGTTTCCTGTTCTTAGCTGACAGGAGCGGCACCCGGTGTGGTCTTCTGCTGCTGTAGCCCATCTGCCTCAAGGTTGGACATGTTGTGTGTTCAGAGATGCTCTTCTGCAGACCTCAGTTATATCGAGTGCTTATTTGAGTTACTGTTGCCTTTCTATCAGCTGGAACCAGTCTGGCCATTCTCCTCTGACTTCTGGCATCAAGAACACAGAACTGCCGCTCACTTGATATTTTCTCTTTTTTGGACCATTCTCTGTAAACCCTAGAGATGGTTGTGCGTGAAAATTTCAGTAGATCAGCAGTTTCTGAAATACTCAGACCAGCCTGTTTGGCACCAACAATCATGCCACATTCAAAGTCACTTAAATCCTCTGTCTTTCCGATTCTGATGCTCCGTTTAAACTACAGCAGATTGTCTTGACCATGTCTACATGCCTAATTGCATTGAGTTGCTGCCATGTGATTGGCTGATTAAAAATTTGCGTTAACAAGCAGTTGGTCAGGTGTACCTAATAAAGTGACCAGTGAGCGTATCTGTATTAACTGCAGCTTTTATTCACTTTCATGCATCCTTGCTGAATAATCGTAATTATTTCTGTAATAGAAGGTTTTTTGTGGTGCAGACTAGATTATATTCATTGTCTGTTGTCAAAAGCATTGTTAATTTATGCTGATGTTTCTTCAGGATCACGAGAAGCTGTTTGAGCTGATTCTGATGGAGGAGATCAAATTTCCCAGAACTCTCTCTGCTGATGCTAAGTCTTTACTGTCTGGCTTACTCATCAAGGACCCCAATAAGAGGTCAGTGAGGGTTTATATCAGGACTGTGCTCTGTCCATTCCTCTTTTAACACATTTCTAATCCATTTTAACCCTTAATTTAAATTTAGGATCAAGTTATTTGAGCTTGAGCCCAAACAGCTTTCCTTTAGTTTAAAAATTGGTTCCCTTCATCTCATCGAAATAAGAGTTTGAGCGTTCATCATTACCCATCTATATTCGCATGAAACAATCTGGGCTTGATTTGGTTGTTCTTGATTTGGTATGTTAATCGTAGGATATAAATAATCTGTTTGTTTATTATCCAAAGGCTCGGAGGAGGCCCGGATGATGCTAAAGAAATCATGAGACACAGTTTCTTCACGGCGCTGGACTGGCAGGACGTCTACGACAAAAAGGTACACTTGCAATGGAGGACAACAAGATGGAAAAATGAGCTGAGGAAAAAGTGACGATGTTCTGAGGCACTGTTTACACTAATGCGTTTTCGTTTTAATATGCATATGTTTTCGAGTTCTCGAGCGCCGAAAACGGAGCGTTTCGAAAACGCTGGAGAGGCCTTTTTCATTCTAAAACGCTGCTGCTCTGTCTCAGTGTGTATGAGGGAAAACGGAGACATCTGAAAACGGATGCAGGACTGCTGAGATTCGCTACCTGATTAGGGCTTTTGTATCATTGCGTAGCCTTCCCTTATTCGTCAAGCCACTATCACATGACTATAACACATGGCTTTAACGCTACCGAAAGACAGTACTGTAAACAACAACATGGACACAGAACGGGAGCAAAACAAAATCTAATTGTCATTACCGCAATAAAAAATCTGTTGTATTTTACATTAAAAACAAGCATTTTAAAAAAATTCTTAAGAGTCATTTTGCTTTGCAATATTATTTTCATGACGTTTTTTTGCTAAACGATGATTGTCGTAATGCAAAAAAATCTAATTGTCATTACCACAAAAAAATGAAATGATGATTATCATAATGCAACAATGTCATTACCGCAATAAAAAACATAATTTCGCATTAAGAAAAGGCTGAGTTTTAGGCTCAATTAGGCTTGTTGTGCTGGTTAGTGAGGTAATAGTCTGAGAAAAACATTGAACCCCAAACTTTACGACAATTTTACGTCATGTCTATTAAACACTTTGTGTCTCTCCCACAGCTGGTGCCGCCATTCATGCCCCAGGTCTCTTCAGAAACAGACACCAGATATTTCGACGAGGAGTTCACAGCGCAGACCATCACCATCACTCCTCCAGAGAAATGTAAGTCTTTTGTTGCAGGAACAGGAAGTCGCATGTGTGCACGTTATAAAATCGCCGCCATATTTCTTCATAGCGCTGAGTGTATTCCATAATTGCTGGGAAATACCTTTTTATGGGTAGCATAGAATAACCCGTTTCCCTCTCTTCCTCTCTGCAGATGATGAGGACGGGATGGACGCGGCCGATAGCGAAAGGAGACCACATTTCCCACAATTCTCGTATTCGGCCAGCGGGCGGGAGTGATGTTATCAAAAAGCGCCCTGCGTAGCCATTCTAGAAAGAGCCCCCTCTCTCTATCTCTCTCCGATTATTACCGATAGTCATAGCGAGTCATTTACGTTGCTTTCTGTTCGTTTTCATTTTTGGTTTCACGTGGGACTTAAAAGGGGTTTTGCACAGTTGGGTGAGACTTAAACTAGTCGACCCACATTAAAAAAAAGTCTTGTACACTTTCAGCTTGTTGTTTACAGATCATGGACAGTGTTTTCTGGGGGGGGGCGGTATGATCAGTATTGTTGAAGACCCGGAGCATTTTTGTTTTGTTTTTATTTTGCACTTGTTTAAAAGAGCCGCTGTGGGGAACAAACCAAAAATGTTGCCTTATGTGTGTGGATCTCATCAGACAGACGGACGGACGGACGGACAGACAGACGTGTAGTTTGGGTTTTTAGACGCAGCAGTAGATCTGTTCCTGTGAGGCTCACCCGGTTTCATTTTGTTCCCGATTTTTAACACACAGGCAAACACACACACATACAGAAATCCTCCGTCTGAGAGTCTCAGTCCTTGCTTTTGCTTTGGGTATAAAAACGAACACTAAGGAAGCAGGGAAAGTGTGACACTAGTGTTAATATTTCTGTTTGTTTTTTATCCTCGCGCTCTTGATTATGAAGGTTTCAGTTCAAACACACAGCCGTACAACAAACTGCCGTTACTGTAAAAGTCTCTCAGGCTATTCAGAGCACAAGTGTGAATCTCACGAAACGCAGCCGAAATCTATTATATTTTGCATGGGAAAAAAAGCATGGTTTTAGGATCATTTAAGGATCATTTTGTATTGCAACTTTATTTTCATAACAGTTTTCCGCTGAATGATCATTGCCGTAATACAACACAATCTAATTGTCATTACACACACACACACAAAAAAAAAATCTGTTGTATTTTTTATGAAGAAAAAGCAAAGTTTTAGGATCATTTAGGGTCATTTTGCATTTTAATATTATAATTTTCTGCTAAATGATCATTGCCGTAATGCAAAAAAATCTAATTGTCGTTACCGCAATAAAATAGATTGTATTTTGCATTAAGAAAAAGCATTTTTTTAGGCTCATTTAGGGTTGTTTTGCATTGCAATATTATTTTCATGATCATTTTCTACTAAATGATCATTGCCGTAATGCAACAAAATCGAATTGTCATTACCGCAATAAAAATCTGTTGTATTTTGCATTAAGAATAAGCATTGTTTTAGGCTTATTGCTCACTGCTAAATTTTGATAGCCGTAATTCAACAAAATCTCATTGTCATTACCGTAATAAAAAGAAATCCACTATATTTTGCATGAACAAAAGCACATTTTTAGGCCCATTTACGATTGTTTATAGCTCAGTATTACTTTTATGACAATTTTCTGCTAAATGATCATAACCACAAAATCAAATAATCGCATTTTGCATGAAGAATAGGCTCGTTTTGTCGTTAATTTAAGGTTGTTCTGCATTGCAACATTTTTCTTCGTAAATGATCATTACCGTAATGCATCGAAAAATCTTTCTCATTACCAAATAAAGAAAAAATATGACATTATTTAAATGAACTAATAATGTAATAAATGTAAACTGTGGTAGGGTGACACAGTGGCTCAGTGAATAGCACTGTCACCTTACAGCATGAAGGTCACTGGTTTAAGTTTGGGCCAGTTGATGTTTTAGTGTGGAGTTTGTGGTGCTACGGTTTCCCCCACAATCCAAAGACATGCGCCATAGGTGAATTGAATAAACTAAATTGGCCATAGTGTAGTATGTGATAGTGTATGGGTTTTTCCCAGTACTGAGTTGCTGCTGGAAAGGCATCCGCTGTGTAAAACATATGCTGGAATAGTAGGCGGTTCATTCCGCTGTGGCGACCGCTGATAAATAAGGGACTAAGTCGAAGGACAATAAATAAATGTAAACTAACCATATTTTAATTTATGTTACGGTATTGAGAAATTGCAGGAGTATGATTGTCATATAAAAAAGATTTGATTTTGGTAAATACATGAACTAACATTGTAAACTGCAGCCATATTTTCTTTTCCGTTACGGTAATGAGAATTTGCAGGCGCATGATTGTCGTAAAATGCCACAACTTAAACATAATATTGGTCCAAACAAATAGACTTAATTTTGGTGAATACATGAACCAATAATGAACTAATAATGAAACATTGTAATCTGTGGCCATATTTTTTTTATGTTACGTAATGAGAATTTGCAGGTGCATAATTGTCATAAAATGCCACAACTTAAAAATAATATCGGTCCGAACAAAGTGATTTGATTTTGGTAAATACATGAACATTGTAAACTGCAGCCATATTTTCTTTTACGTTACGGTAATGAGAATTTGCAGGAGCATGATTGTCGTAAAATGACAAAACTTAAAAAATAATATCGGTCCAACCAAATCAATTTGATTTTGGTTAATACGTGAAGTAATACTGAAACACTGTAAACTTTGTCCATATTTTCTTTTCCATTACGGTAATGATAATTTGCAGGTGCATGATTGTCGTAAAATGCCACAACTTAAAAATAATCAGTCCAAACAAAGTGATTTGATTTTGGTAAATACATGAACGAACATTGTAAACTGCAGCCATATTTTCTTTTACGTTACGGTAATGAGAATTTACAGGAGCATGATTGTCATAAAATGCCACAACTTAAAAATAATCAGTCCAAACAAATAGACTTGATTTATTATTCTTTTTGACATGTTTTCGTGAGATTCACTCACACAAATCAACCCACCGACGGGGTGAAATCGTCTGCGTTTCTCCTCCACTGTCGGCGTTTTTCTCTCAGCAGCACAGAACGAGAGCAGCGCCTCCTCAACATGTACATACAGATATTATTACCGCGATTTTTCCCGAACTCATCCTGTGCAAATCTTACGGACGCGCAATGTCTGCGCTTGAATCACAGACTCATTATATGTGCAACTGAGCCATGCAATACCAGTGTGAATGACCCTCCGTGTGTGATGTACATATGCAATGCCTTCTGTTTGCCCGAGACGAGACACAAAAAAACAAAAAAAACAAACAAAAAACAAACACGTCCCGAAGTGGAAACTGCCGTTTTTTTTCTTCATAGCGAATGAAATGAGTGTGTCTGCGTGATCGTTGGGTAAAGTTTGCGTTGTTTTTCTTCACGCTGTGACGCATTCGGTCAGGCTAACGGGAAAATCCTCATTAGGTTTTCTAATGTTGACTGAGTTTTGTTTTAGTTTTGTTTTCATTATTATTATTTTGGTTGGGTTTCCGCGTATTTTTGTACTATAGATGTAATTTAGTTGTATTTATTTTCGTATGTTGGGACGAAGAACGCTGTCGGCCGCGTTTTATGAAGTGCTCTCTCTCCCTCATTATTTTTTTATACCTTTCCTTTAGTCGTTTTTGCCTGTTTTTTTTTTTTGTTTGTTTGTTTGTTTTCATACCAAAACATTAGAGCAAGTGCCCTGTAGAGGCCACTTGCGTCGCCATTTGGTAGTATTTATTTTAAGTTATATTAAAATGTTCAAATTTCAACACAATGACTCCATGTGGTGTTTCTAATTACATTTTTTTTTTCATTTAACCCTTGTGCACTGATCAAATTTCAGGATGAAAATATCCACTAAACTGCTTTAAAATGCATCAGATAACCTACATGGAGTAAAAAGAAAACAAAGACTGTGTATTTTTAAATAATATTATATTTTCTATATATATTTTTTAGATTTATATAATTGTTATATTGAAAATATGACATTTTGTGTGTTAAATGAAGTGACATCTATTATAAATTTGGCAAAGAGGTAAAATTCTGTAATTGTCTCAACATTTAGTAGTTTTGATCAGGACTGAGGTTGATTAACAGATTTATGCAAAATAAATAAAAAAAAAATATTTATCTGATGCATTTTTACGGCAGTTTAGTGGATGTTTTCATCCCAAACATAACGAAAAAGGGGATGTACATTTGCCCAGCGTGTATTGAAATCCTTAAAAATTTCAGACAACACAGACAAAGTTGTGGCCAAACTAAGACTCAAAATCCCCCCAGAGTGGATGAAGAAATCCCCAACAGTACATAAGGGTTAATAACATTTATTATGTTTCCCTGGACCACAAATCCAGTTTTGAATAATCAAAACACAGAAAATCTGCTTTAAATATGTCAGAAAGAAGTTCTTAGCAATGCATATATTAGTAACAGAAAATTATGTTTTGATATTTTTAAAGTAGGTAATTTGCTAAATTTCTTCATGATCTTAATATTGTAGTGATTTTTGGCATAAATAAAAAATATAATGTTGACTTTTTAATACATTTACAATGTATTTTTTGGCTATTCCTACAAATATTACTGGGCAACTTTATACTTGTGCTCCAGAATTTCAAGAAAAGCCTAAATATTAAATTACACATTTGTATTTTTAATACAAATAAAGGTCTAAAATTATGCTTATTTAAAATATATAAATATCAGTAATTCATATCATTTCTAAAAAAAAATATGGCGTTTGAGTAACGAAGTTTGCGGCTTGCCATATTTTGAGACAGATAATGCTTGAAAATTATTTATTGGAAAACTATAAGTCTGATAATCCTGAAAAGATATAGCAACACAATCTAATGCAGAACACAGCTTCTGGCCAATTTTGGGGCTTGTATAAGTATTTTATATGCCAGTATTATTCAAATGTAATATTTAACTTTTTTTTTATTCAAACATTATAAATCTTATCGGCATGAAGAGATTTACCAACAATTTTGAATGCCGAAGACACATCTAGACCAAAATTTGGGCCTTGTAGCACAAACAGCCTAGGAGGAGATAGGTTTGGTTTCGAGGACAGAGTAGTTTAACTCAGTCTACCTCAAGCCAACATAATAATAATACTATGTATATAAAAATATTTATTTATTATTTGGCTCAAGTAACACTCTGATTTACTTTGTAACACATGATTTAACCTAAAAACCAGTGTAAAAATATAAAAACCCGTTTATCAAAATTGATAAATATTCTTTTAAATTATTAATAAACGCCAAAACAAACCAGCCAGACTGTTGAAAGAGGAGCAGAACAATAATTAACAAAAAACTAAATTAGGCTGTTTTTATTGAGGAAAATGTGCATTCAGAAACCTAATTCAACCAAATAATGATCAAACTAATGCGTAAATGTATGACAGAAATATACATACAGTCCCTGTCAAACAAGAACATCAAATGCCAAACGTCAATCTGGAATAGCCGGAGGCCAGTCGATGTCTACAGACTGAAACACACAGAAAACAGCAACAGTAAAAAAGGATTAAAAAGGCAGTAAAAAAATGGCTTCATCATAACAAGATGATTTAAAAAATAAACACAGAAAAAAATACATCGTTTATAAATGGGAAGTAAGATACAATTTAAAACAAACAAAAACATTAACACTAATATTCAATGACTGGGACTAAAACAACTATAAAATTCCCTGACTTTCAGTGTCTGAAGACTTTTTATTAACTGAAGGATGAAACGAATAGAAAGAGGCATATTAGACATTTAATAGAGAGAGATTTATACAGAGATTTCCATCATGCAAATGAAATATTAATAAAGACTGACCTCGACGTCGAGCTCCAGGATATCAGCGTCCGTGTTCATCAGGTCACAGAGGTTTGGTTTGGTCCGTCCGAAATCTCCATGAACAAACTCCTTAATGTACCTAATTGACACTCGTGAAGGAAAACTTTCACTTGTGTGAATGATCCCTTGAAAATCATTCTCATTAGCTTACAATCACTACCACCAGTGAAATAAACAAAGTACTTGTTGGGATTATTAATGTTGATGAAAGAAATCTTTTCCGGTGGCTCAGTGGTTAGAACTATCGTCTCACAGCAAGAATGTCGCTGGTTCGAGTCCTGGCTATGCCAGTTGGCATTTCTGTGTGGACTTGTGCATGTTCTCTCCGTGTTGGTGTGGGTTTCCTCCGGGTGCTCCGGTTTCCCCCACAGTCCGAACACATGCACTATAGGTGAACCGAATAAACTAAGTTGGCTGTATTGTATGAGTGTGTGTGTGAATGAATGAGTTTCCCAGTACAGGGTTGCAGCTGGAAGAGCTTTCGATGTGTAAAACATATGCTGCAATAGTCGGTGGTTCATTCCGCTGCGGCGACCTCCGAAATGGAGACTAAGCCGAAGGTAAATTAATGAATGCTGAATTTTTAGCTTAATAACTGCAGTCATCAGTGTCAAGTGGTCCTTTACAAATCACTCTAATATCATCGGTTGCTTGGCGAGGCAGTGGCGCAGTAGGTAGTGCTGTCGCCTCACAGCAATAAGGTCGCTGGTTCAAACCTCGGCTCAGTTGCCGTTTCTGTGTGGAGTTTGCATGTTCTCCCTGCCTTCGCGTGGGTTTGCTCCGGTTTCCCCCACAGTCCAAAGACATGCAGTACAGGTGAATTGGGTAGGCTAAATTGTCCGTAGGGTATGAGTGTGTGTGAATGTGTGTGTGGATGTTTCCCAGAGATGGGTTGCGGCTGGAAGGGCATCTGCTGCGTAAAAACTTGCTGGATAAGTTGGCAGTTCATTCCGCTGTGGCGACCCCGGATTAATAAAGGGACTAAGCCGACAAGAAAATGAATGAATGAATCATCATTTATTGACCAAAACTGTTGGTAGGGAGCTCCACAGGGTGAGAATACAAGGCCGGGCTGCTATAACCAAACCTTCGCCCACTCGTGCCAGTGCCAAATGTCAGTTTCAATGTTGCCAGCGAAAATGTTGTGCTGTGTACGATGTGAAACTTGTATTATTGTCTGATATGTCCATCTTCACGGTCTTCACCACATCTGGGAGAGTTACGGTGTGGAGAAGCCCCAAACAAGCATATCATCTAGACCAGTGGGCACCAAACTTGTTCCTGGAGGGCCGGTGTTCTGCAGATTTTAGCTCCAACCCTAATCAAACACACCTGAACAAGCTAATCAAGCTCTCACTAGGTAAACTTGAAACATCCAGGCAGGTGTGTTGGAGGCAAGTTGGAGCTAAACCCTGCAGGGACACCGGCCCTCCAGGACCGAGATTGGTGACCCCGGACCTAGACCGTTGCATGCCCAGATTAAAGTATGGGAGCGGATCAGTGATAGTTTGGGCTGCATCATCATGTCATTCCCAAGACCCAATACGTGTGCTGGATGGGTGCGTCACTGCCACGGACTACCAAACCATTCTGAAGAAGCATGTGCACCCAATGTCTCAAATATTGGTTCCTGAAGGCAGTACTGTGTATCAGGATGATTATGCACCAATGCACACAGCAAGACTGCTGATAGATGGTTTGATAAACAGAAAAGTGAAGTTGAACATCTCCCATGGCCTGCACAGTCACCAGACCTGAACATTATTGAGCCTCCATCAGCATCACATAGTGACCTGGCCACTAATCTACAAGAAGATTGTCTCAAGATCCCTCTGGCCACTGTGCAGGACTTGTATCTGTCACTCCCAATACCGACTGATGCTTTATTGGCCGCACAAGGAGGCCATACACCAGGGGTGTCCACACTCTGTCCTGGAGGGCCGGTGTCCGACACAGTTTAGTTCCAACCCCAATCAGACACACCTGAACCAGCTAATCAAGCTCTTACTAGGCTTTCAGGAAACTTCCTTGCAGGTGTGTTTAGGCAAGTTTGAGCTTAAATCTGCAGGACACCGGCCCTCCAGAGTTTGGACAGCCCTGCCCTACACCATACTAATGCATTATTGTGGTCTAAAACCAGACACTTCCGTTTCATTATCCAAAAAAAATTAAATTGTAATTGTATTTCACACCATTAGTTTTGCACAGCTGTAAAGTAAGGATACGTCCCGGCCTGTGTGCGCAGCTTGAGTGTGAAGTGATGTTTGTCCAGGTAAACGCTGCTCATGGAGTGAATGAGTCTCTGTCTGACCGCCAGCGGCCGCCGATGAAGCACTCGCAGGGGGGTTTTCTGAGCCACTTTCAGATCCTGAACACACACACACACACCATCATCAGCTCGTTTCTGCTCTCATCTCTTGCGCACACACACACAGATCAGAAAGCTCCTACAAACCTTGATGTTTTCCAGGAAGTGCAGGTCAGAGCTGTCGATGGTTTTCTCAGTCCAGATGAGGGCGCTGTAGGTCTTTGTCTTTTCCTCTTCACCCTCTTTCATGCGGCTGGTCGCTTCCCTGTAGGACAAAACCAGGCTTAAAGGTACAGTGAAATACTTTCAATTGTGCATTTTTTTATTCTGTGTTTGACGTAATCACAAAATAAAAACAAATAGAGGGAGGGAATAGAATAGCTCCTCCCCTTTTTTAAATAAAACAGCCAATAGTGTTTTGTTTTATCAGAGCTCTGCCAGGGAGAGTAGTTGAGTTCAAGCGCATCAAACGAAAAGTGAATGAGAAGGGGGCGGGGCATATCAGACACCAGAGAGCATTTGATTGGTCAGAAGATTTGATGAGAAACTGAAGTATGAGGTACCGTAAATAAAACCGTTGATCTATTTAGGGGGAAGTGACCAACAAATGTTTATTTAATGTTTATTTAGGCTTTTCTTAACTCATCATGGACCACAAAAGTCCTAAATTGCACTTGTATATTTGTATATTGTATGAGTCAAAATTATCGATTTTTCATTTATGCCAAAAATCATTAGAATATTACATTTTTTGTGAATTTTAGACTGTAAATATATAAAAATACTAATTTACATTAGTAAAATGCATTGCTAAAAACGTTATTTGTTTATTTAAATGTGATTTTTTAAAGCTTTATCTTCACCAAACGATTTCCTGTTCTAACAAACCATACTTTAATGGAAGGCTAAATTACTTGGGTTAAATGTGGTGTATAAATCTCAATTTCAGAAAAATCTGCACTTATTACTGGTTTTGTGGTCCAGGGAAACAATATATGTGTGTTTGTATATTTAACACACACCTGGAAACAATCTGTAGGTCTCGAACTCGGATTTTGTCAGAAGACTGGTTGATGGTCTGTGAGAGCAGAGAGAATAGAAGACAAAATTCACTTTAGATACTTTGTGGTTAGAATATAATGAACACTGTACATAGTTAATTACAGGTGTGATATAAAGACAGAAGACAGATGTTTGTACCTCCTGTATTTGCTTGATCTCAGTTCTGTTGAATTTTGCTCGATGAGGGTTCAGCAGCTCCACAGCAAACGGTCGACCTGAGAAACCAACGAAACATGTCAACTCAGAATTCCTAAAATGTCAAAAAAAATTTAAAAAGTCAGTATTCCAAGATGTAAACTTAAAAATTCTGAATTCCAAGATGTAAACTTAAGAGATTTCTGAATTCCAAGCTGGGAAAAATCATGAGTTGTAAACTCTAAATTCTGAATTGTAAAGTCAGAATTCCTTGAAAAAACACAATGTTCCAAGTCCTAAATCCAAAATTCTTAAAAAAATTCAAAATTCTGAAATAAAAACTTTTAATTCCTAGAAGTCATCAAAATTTTGAGATGTAAACTCAAATTTCAGAGACGTAAACTCAAAATTCCTATAAGGAAACTTTGAGTTCATAGAAAAAGTAAAAATTCTATGATGAAATTCTGAATTGTAAAGTCAGAATTCTTTGAAAAAAAAACAGTATTCCAAGACGTAAATTCAATTTCTTAAAAAAATTCAGATTTACAAGAAGTCATTAAAATTTTGAGATGTAAATTCAAATTTTTGAGATGGAAAATTCCTAGGAAAAAGTCATTATTCCAAGATGTAAACTTAAAATTCAGAGATGGAAACTCAAAATTCCTATAAGGAAACTCAGAGTTCATAGAAAAAGTCAAATTTCTATGATGACAGCTCAAAACTCCAAGATTTCTGAATTCCAAGGTGGAAGAAATCATGAGTTGTAAACTCTATATTATGAGATATGAAGTCAGAATTCCTAAAAATAAGTCAGTATTCCAAGATGCAAACTCAAAATTCCTAGGAAAAGTTAAAGATCTGTGATATAAACCTAAAATTCTGAGATTTCTGAATTTCAAGGCGGGGAAAGATTTTGAGTTGTAAAGTCAGAATTCCTAGAAAAAGTCAGAATTCCAAGATGTAAACTTAAAATTATTAGCAAAAGTCAAAATTCTATGATAACTCAATTTCAGAGATTTCTGAATTCCAAGCTGGGAAAAATCATGAGTTGTAAACTCTAAATTCTGAAGTGTAAAATCAGAATTCCAAGACAAATGTTGTATTCTAAGATGTAAACTTAAGACTCCTAGAAAATGCAAAACTCCATCAGGTGGGTAAAATCATAAGATGTCAAAACAATTCAGGGGGGAAAAAAATTCAGAGATGTAAATTGAGAATTTTGAGGTGGGGAAAAGTCCATTTAGATGTGCCAACTGGAATAATAAATTCAAGAAAAAGGTAATATGTAAAGTCCGAATTCGATCATGAAAAAGTATTTAAACTAAGCATTTTAAGGAAAAACCTTAACACCCCAGGAATTTTAACTTCTTTTCTCTCTGAATTCTAAGAGGTAGAGTCAGGATTCTACAGGAAATAAGCAAATATAGTGTGATGTAAACTCAGAATTCTCCGAAAAAAAAGTCTGAAAGGCGAAATAGTCAAGATGAAGAAACCAAAACTAGTAACAGAGAGTGTGAAAGCCATGTTTTACCATTTCCCAGAGTCCTCACATCCACGTCCTCTCGTCCTGAAGATGAAAAGTTAAAACCTACACAGAAAAACAAATCTTCAATGTGAACGCACGCTATATTGTTTGAAAACGACAAATACACCACCTACAGTTTAGGACCCAATTCAGCTTTAGGTTTTAGCTCTCACCATCAGCTCTGAAGGAGGACAGAAGCGGAGCCGCGATCAGTTCCTCCACTGATCCGTCCATCCGTCTCTCTCCATCAATCACCCACGGCGTCTGCGGAAGCTCCCGGGAAAACTTATTATACCGACCTAAAGAAATGCGGGTTTGTAGATTTACATATTTTCTGAGTTCACGTCTAACAACCTAGAAATTTGTAGTATATAATTTTACACAAGTTCCTGTCTAATTTTTATGCAATCTGAAATATTTTTTATGAAAGTTGCATTATCATTTTACAAAAGTAGCAGCTAAATTTTATGCAGTCTGGGTAATTAATATTATGTAAATTGAAGTATAATTTTATGCAAATTAAATAATATTTTTATGCAATTTGGAAAGTAATTTTATGAAAATTGCATTATAATTTTTCAAATGTTGCAGTATAATCTTATGCAATCTGGGAAATTGTTTTATGCAAATTGAAGTATAATTGATGCACTCTGGGGAGTAATTTTATGCAAGTTGCATTATAATTATGCAATTTGCATAATTAAATATGCAATTTGGAAAGTAATTTTATGAAAATTGCATTATAATTTTCCAAACATTGCAGTATAATATTATGAAATCTGGGTAGTTATTTTATGCAAACTGAAGAATGATTTTATGCAAGTTGCTATATAAAATAACAAAACATTGCACTATAGTTTTATGCAATCTTCTTAGATATTTTATGCAAATTAAAAGTATAATTTTATGCAATCTAGTGAATAAACATGCAAGTTGAAGTGTAGTTTCTAGCAGATTGCGTTTTAATTTTGTTTTTGCGCATGTTATGCATGCAATCCAGGGATAATTGTATGCAAATACCAGTATGATTTTATTCAAATTGAAGTATAATTTTAAACAATTTGAAGAACAAATTATGCAATTTTAGGGAATAATTTATGAAAATTGCAATATACTTATTTGCAAATTGCAGTATAATTGTATGCATGTTGTGGAATAATTTGATCCAACTTGGAGAATAACTTTATGAAAGTTGTAGTATATTATGTGTGTTGCAGTATAATTTTATGCAATTTGCTGTATAACTATATTCGACTTGAAGTTCAATGTTAAGCAAATTTCCACCACATCCTAAAGGTGCTCTATTGGATTGAGATATGGTGACTGTTGAGGCCATTTGAATACAGTGAACTCATTGTCCTGTTCAAGAAACCAGTCTGAGATGATTCGCGCTTTATAACATGAAGCGTTATCCTGCTGGAGGTAGCCATAAGAAGATGTGTCCACAGTGTTTATAAAGGGATGGATATGGTCAGCAACAATACTCAGGTAGGGTGTGTGTGGTGTTGACATGATGCTCAATTGATACTAATGTCCAAAGTGTGCCAAGAAAATATCCCCCACACCATTACACCACCACCACCACCAGCCTGAACCGTTAATACAAGGCAGGATGGATCCATGCTTTCATGTTGTTGACGTCAAATTCTGACGCTAAATCAGACCAGGCAGCGTTTCTCCAATCTTCTATTGTCCAGTTTTGGTGAGCCTGTGTGAACTGTAGCCTCAGTTTCCTGTTCTTAGCTGACAGGAGCGGCACCCGGTGTGGTCTTCTGCTGCTGTAGCCCATCTGCCTCAAGGTTGGACATGTTGTGTGTTCAGAGATGCTCTTCTGCAGACCTCAGTTGTATCGAGTGCTTATTTGAGTTACTGTTGCCTTTCTATCAGCTGGAACCAGTCTGGCGATTCTCCTCTGACCTCTGGCATCAACGAGGCATTTGTGCCCAATGAACTGCCGCTCACTGGATACTTTCTCTTTTTCAGGCCATTCTCTGTAAACCCTAGAGATGGTTGTGCGTGAAAATCCCAGTAGATCAGTAGTTTCTGAAATATTCAGACCAGCACGTCTGACACCAACAACCATGCCACATTTGAAGTCACTTAAATCACCTTTCTTCCCCATTCTGACGCTCGGTTTGAACTGCAGCAGATCATCTTGACCATTTCAACATGCCTAAATGCATTGAGTTGCTGCCATGTGATTGGCTGATTAGAAATTTGCGTTAATGGTCAGTTGGACAGGTGTACCTAATAAAGTGGCTGGTGAGCGTATGTTCTAGTGTAGTTTTGCAGTTGTAGTAATTACATGCAGATTTTACAATAATTATACACGCAGTATAATTTTACACTGAGGTCAGGTGACAGCCCCAAACACACAAACCTGCTGTTGACTAATGATCTGGATATACCTGCTATAAAGACAGACGTGTGCAGACAGGTGGTGTCCAGCGCTGAGCATCTGGAGTTTGGTTTCTTTGGTGGACATGGGTAATACCTGCACACAGATATATATATATATCAGACATTTAATGGAAAAATCAAACAAGTGTTTTACATGAGCAGGAAAACAAACAAAACCTCACCGGCTGAACGTCTCCTCTGAGATTTTCTCCAGCGCTTTGACCACTGCCATCCTGGTGAAGATGGACTGAGCCACAGAGAAGGTGAGGATTACAAATACAGGACTTTTATGTGTGAAACGCTCACTTTTATTAGACGGAATGTGGAGATCACAGATACAACTGAGAAAAAATGAGGAAATCATACCGCTTTATTTTTGGTGGGTTTGAAACAGTCCGGACAAGTGTTTGCTCTGCCCAAAAAAAAGCACAGCTGGGTTAATCAGGAAGTGACATCATGAAGACACTTTTTGTACTATGAAGACGGGTAAGTTATTCTTACATGCATACATCTGAAACATACTTTATTCAAAGCAACTCATACATTTGATTTGAGTAAGATGTACTTTTATGCTAGTTGTAGAAAAATATTATCTGTGATGTGGTATAATTTTAAGCAATTTCTAGAATAATAGTATGCAAATTAAAGTATAATTTTCACAAATTTAAAGAATCATTTTGCACATTGTAGTACAAATTTATACAACTTTGAGAATAACATTGAAGTTAATTTACGAAAACTGCTAAGTAATTTTGTGCAGATTGTATTATGATTTTACTAAATCTGGCCAATAATTTTATGCACAGTTTATTATCATTTTATAATTTTATTACATTTTTTGTGAATATTTGATGCAACTTGTAGTATACTTTGACATGTAGCATAATTATAAGTGACAAAGTATTTCACCAACACTATTATAACTTATATAAATTATTATAACAGAAATATTAATGTTAAATAAATGTTTCAGAATTTTATGCATAAACATACACAAGACGCATAACTTCATTATAATAATTATTCAAATTTAAGTGTAGTTTTATGCATGTTATAGTAAAATGTTATGCAAATTGCAGTATACTTATGTAATTTGGGGGATACTTTTATGTAAAAAAACAGTAAATTTGCATTATAATTTTATTCAATCTAAAGGAATATTTTTATGCAAATTGAAATATAATTTTATGCAATCTGGAGATTTTTGTGCAAATTTCTGTATTTTCCTGTATAATTTAATGCAAATTGCAGTATAATTTTATGTAAGTTGCAGCAACATTTTGTGCAAATTGAAGTGTATTTTTATGCAATCTGGGGAAAATTTTATGTGACAATTTCATTATTTTGCATTATAATTTTATTCAATCTAAAGAAATAATTTTATGCAAATTGCAAAATAACTTTATGTAAGTTCTATTTTATGCAAATTGAAGTATAATTATATGCTGTCTGAAGAAAATTTTATGTGAAAAATTACAGTATAATTTGATGATAATTGCATTATAATTTTATTCAAATCTAAAGGAATAATTGTTTGCAAATTGCAGTATAATTTGATGTAATTTAGGTGATAATTTGTGAAAATTTCCGTATTTTACAGTATAAATTTATGATAACTGCAGTATAATTCTAAGAAATCAGAGGAATAATTTTATGCAAGTTGCAGTATAATTCTATGCAATCTGAGGGAACATTTTGTGCAAATTCAGTATTTTGCGGTATAATTTTATGCAAATTGAGGAATAATATTATGCAAATTGCAGTATAATTCTATGATGATTGTAGTGTAATTTTATGCAATTGGGGGAATAATATTACGCAAGTTGCAGTGTATTTATATGCAATATGGGGCATAATTCTATGCAGTCTGGGGGATAATTTTCTGCAAATTTCATTATTTTGCAGTACATTTTTATGATAATTGCAGTATTATTTTATAAAAATTGCAGTATAACATTATGAAACTTTAAATGTATCAAGCACATAAGCCTGAAGTACCTGCAGTTTTAAGAAAAAGAGCGAAACAAACAATTCTCATAATTTAATTTTCATTACACTTACAAGAAATGACAGTCCTCATCTGTTTCTGCATGTATAAACCCGACGCTCACTTCACAAGGACTCTGCGGATCACAGAATGAAGAGATAATAGAAACGATAGTGAATTATTCATAATATCAGTGAAGAAGAAAGACTCACGTTGGCCAGAACAGAAGCTCCCAGTTCCTGAGCGATCTTTCCCTGTACGGCCCACTTAAACGCGTCCTTCACCTGAATCACATCGTCTTTCCCCAAACACATGCTCTTCTCCCTGAATCACAGCATCATGTGACTTCAGATGGATTATACATTTACATATACATATACATTATATATATATATATATATATATATATATATATATATATATATATACATATACATATATATATATATATATATATATATATATATATATATATATATATATATATATATATATATATATATATATATATATATACACACACATACACATCACTATCAGGATATGAAATGATTTATATTGTGATATGGAATTTTTTTTGCATCATAATCGCTTAGCCCCATGGGAAATGTATGCTGTGTCCATACCTGACTTCCTTTTTCACGTGCAGCCAACATGAATGCTGTAGAAACACACAGAAGCATGTTTGTACTGGATTTCTATGATCAAAATAAGTTATAAAAGCATCATCTGTAACCGATAGCACTGACCTCTCTAACGGAGAGCTGAGCGGGAAGAGAAACGGTCAAAACCAGACTCTCAAACTCGTACTGCTGTTTCTTCACCGCATCAGAAACCTGCATGATTAATGAAATTAGACATGAAATGGCGTGCGGATGGGAACTTAAATAGTTGGAGACTAAATGTATTTGTATTTTTGCACTAACGTAAATTTAAATATTTGTATTTAGTAATTAATTTGCTATTATTTTTATTTTTTATATGTGCTGTAAGAATTTGATTTATTTAAATATTTGTATTTAATTAATTAATCTGCTATTATTTTTATTTTTTATATGTGCTATAAGAATTCGATTTTTTTAAATATTTGTATTTAATTTATTAATTAGATTTTTAAATTATATTTTATGTGCTGTGATAAAAAATATATATATTTTTGGGGAAATGTTTCATATTTTTGAATTTTATCAATTATTATTTAAAAATAAACAATTACAAATTAAATACTATTTATTGTAACAATCCCAATAACTACAATAATTATAATAATTACTCCTCTGCTGCTGGAACAATTTGTATTGTGTACTAAAATGAAAACTAATTTAAATATATGTATTTAATTGACATTTTATCATTAATACCTACATTTTAATAATATTATTTGAAATTTACATTATATTATTATTTTATGTAATTAATTATAAATTTGCTATTATTTTTAATGTGCTGTGGGAACTAATTTTATTTAACAATCCTTTTTTGTATTTTAGCAATTTCTTCATAATAATTATTTTATAATAAACAATGACAACAAATTAAATTAAATACAACTTATTGTAATAATACCAGTTACTACTATAATAATTATAAATTACTCGTGTGCTGCTAGAACAATTTTCTAAATTTTCCTGGACAATTATTATTTGTTATTTTTAATTACTTAATTTGATTTATTTTATAGTAGTCATAAAAATAATAATAACATGTATTAAAATAATAAAATAATAATAAAATATAATAATAACATTATTAACTACTAAGTTAATAATTCATTTAAAATGATTGTAAAAAATTATAATTATTACAATAAAAAATCATTATTATTATTATTCATATTGTGCAGCAGTAAAAAAATGTTTTTATAATTTTTTTGTTAGAATTTTATGTTATATTTATATGCATATTTTACATATTATTTTATAATCTGAACTCAAAAAGTGGGTGACAGTTAAAGGGTTAATTAATTAATTATTGCACTAACAATGTTTAAATCAAAGAATATAATAGCATAGGATTCTTATCATCATTGTACAGGAATTACAAAATTAAGTGCAAGAACTAAGTGTACAAATATGTGCAAACATTTTAAAAATTGCAATGTGTTAAACACAAGACGAGGCATACTACAGTTAATATAACAAAAACACAAAGGGGCTGAATCAGCCTGCACCTGTTTGGCAAATGCTGGACTGCAGAAGTCCTGCAAAACTCCTAAACACACTGGACAAACATCTGCGTCTGCCTCAGTCTCTGGCATAACACAATCCTCCGTGTTTCCGTCCTCTATTCTCATGCGTTTGCTTGGCGGGTCATCTGTTTTTTCCTCACCAGAGGCATCACGGGACTGCGGTCTGTTTTCCTCACCGATGAAGGCCAGAAGCTCCTTCTGTATGTCCTGTAATTGGGAATCTTGATTAAGGGAACACTCCACTTTATTTAGGCTCATTTTACAGCTTTGCTAGAGTTAAACAGTTGAGTTTTATTTCATCCGTTCAGGCGATCTCCGGTTCTGGCGAAAACGCTTTTAGCTTAGCTTAGCATAGATCATTGAATCGGATTAGACCATTAGCATCTCGCTCAAAAAATAGAAAAAAAAATAGTTTTGATAATATGAACTAGGATAAGTTAAAGATTAACACTTATGTAGTTACATCGTGTATTAAGACGACCAAAAATAAAAAGTTGCTAATTTCTAGGCTGACAAAGGAACTATAATCACATTCTGGCGTAATAATCAAGGAACTATGGTGCCGTACCACGACTGCAACAGGCACAATAATATTCTGCTGCATCTGAAAGTAGTTCTGAATCATCTCTAACAAATATCTTTATGGTTTTAAAATTTTCAGGCGCTGTGTAATATCCTTCCATCTGCTACAGTCATGGTACGGCAGCAAAGTTCCTTGATTATTACGCCAGCATAAGAATATAGTTCCTATCTATACCAGCCTAGACAATAGCAACTTTCATTTTCCGTCAGTCTTAGTACACAATGTAACTACAAAATAGACAAGCTTTAAATAGGCGGATTTTCAAAACTAGGTAGTCATTTTTGAGCGAGATGCTAATGGTCTAATCCGATTCAATGATCTATGCGAAGCTAAGCTAAAAGTGCTCCCGGCAGACCTGGAGATTGGCTAAATGAATTCCAAAATGGGAAAACTTACCCGTTTAACTCTTGTAGAAACTATAAAATTAACCTATTCATAAAAAAATGAGTTTCTTTATATCAGTGTTTCTCAACCACATTCCTGGAGGACCACCAGCTCTGCACATTTTCCATGTCTCCTTAACCAAACACGCCTGATTCAGATCATCAGCTCATTAGCAGAGACTGAAAGACATGGGTGTGACAGACAAAGGAGACACCCAAAAGATGTGGTGCTGATGATCCTCCGTGGACGTGGTTGAGAAACACACCGTTTTAAACCACACACAGTCAGCCGATAAACGCACCTCATATGATCGTCTGTACGCGGAGGAGGATCCCACACAGCAGAAGCGCAGCACACATCGCACACAGCAGCCGGCACACAACAGCTTCCTGACCACCGGCCGGTCCTTCTCCTTCAGACCCAGCATACTGATAAAAATAAAGAGAATAACAGCTAAATATAGCACTCAGTGTTGGCTAAATAATTCCTATTACATGTCATAATACTTACTTACTGATATGAAGACACAGATTTATTTGTTATATTAACACTATTGTACATGAATGTAGAAAAAAGTTAGTGAAGTAAAGCTCGCAATTAGTCATACTCCTCATAATTATGACTTACATTTACTCTTATTTATCTAGCAAGTTTGTTTTTGACAGCAAATGACACGTTTCTCCGAAAGTATTATTAGACAAGATACGAGAGGCATCATTGTGGGAAAAAATATTTCTCAGCTTTTTTATATTTGAATATAAAGTGTCTAAAATAATTAAAACCCTTCTCATTAGTCAATAAAAAACCTTTCTTTGGTTATTTCAGCAATCATATGCTTGCTATAATTGCTGAGGAGCTTTTGGCATGTCTCCACAGGTATTTTTGCCCATTCATCTTTAGCAATGAGCTCCAACTCTTTCAGGACGGAGGGTCTCCTTGCCATCACTCTGATCTTAAGCTCTCTCCACATATTCTCAGTTGGGTTTAGGTCTGGACTCTGGCTGGGCCACTGCAAAACGTTAATGTTTTGGGTGCTTTCACACTTGGTTCATTTGCCTGGACCGTACCCAAGTTCGATTGTCCCCCTTTGCCACCTCCTCGGTTGGTTTGTGTTCACGCTGTCTTTTTTCCTTCTGAACCAGGTACGCTTGCATCATCGAGCTGCTGTTTTGTTTACGGCCGTTGCTAGGTGAGGGTCACGAAAGCAGGCGCCGAAATGGAAAGACCTCCGCACATTGTGGTCATTCTGCTTTAACTGAAGCTTTTGGTTTTGGACATACAGAAAGTGACTTGTGTCCATCTGCCGCAACCATATTCTAAACATTCAGAACATCACACGATCTGCAGAAGCTGTTTTTGGAGGAGACAAGCAGACATCACTGTGTATCACTGTGTTTGCCGTTGCTCAACCTCAGTCCTGCTTGTCACCAAGGTACGAAACGTGACATAGACACACACACACATACACATACGAACGTTATGAAAACAATAGTTTGTTGTACTGCTAGTGGATCACTTCTGTTATTTGGTACGATGGTATTCACATCTGTACCCCAGAGCACCTCTTTCAGGGGGACTCAAGTACGGTTCATGGGTGCGCACCCGAGTTCAGAAAACACGTTCACACTAGCTAAACGCAGGGGTCACCAAACTTGTTTGGAGGGCCGGTGTTCTGCAGATTTTAGCTCCAACCCTAATCAAACACACCTGAACAAGCTAATCAAGGTCTTACTAGGTATAATTGAAACATATAGGCAGGTGTGTTGAGGCAAGTTGGAGCTAAACCCTGCTGGGACACCGGCCCTCCAGGACCGAGATTGGTGACCCCTGGGCTAAACGTACCATACTATGACGTCAAACAAACCCGGGTGCGGACCAGAAGTGCTAGTGTGAAAGCTTTTACAAATATTACAGCTTTTATTTATGCTAATTTGACATGTTTTGGATGATTTTCCTGTGGTTTTATAGTAAAACCAGTTTTGGAAAATTTAAATATTCATATTAAACATGAAAATAGTATTTAGTTCATTTTCATAACACAACATTCAAGCTATTTTAAATTATATTTAATAATTTAAAAAACTACACTTAAGCTTAAGATGTGCATATTTCCCAATGGCGTTAAATATCTTAATAACAGTTAAATCACCATTATATAAGGGATATGATAATATGGTTACAACCAAATGTTTATGAAAAGATCTCTGTCTAGAGACACGAAGCATACATCAGTTATATTACACGATAAGTGCATGACAAACACAAATAGCTCTAACTACATTAACCCTTTCCAAACGTCACATTACCTTCACTGAATCCCTTCAAAATCTTCCCTCAGTCACTGAACACCGGCCGCTCCACAAGCCGCCAAAACATTAGTCCACAAGCACAATTTAGAGTTTAGCGAACTTTAGATTTACCCCAGAGCATTTAAACGAATCATATATTATAAATAGCAGTAAATCAATGTGTGTAACGGAGGCACTATAACACATTTATTCACCACAACCGTGATCGGCATGCGGCATGTTTTTCAAACACCCCCAAACGTCATCATCACGCGCCACGTGGGTCCTTTTTCTGTTCCCGTCGCGACCGGTGGTTCTGGAAGGTTCTGCGTGAGATTTTCGGAGCGGATCGTAATCTGAGGCCATCCGTACCGGACAGACGTGCTAGAGACACCGGGAACCGTCCATCTGCGTCTGTGATCTCCGCGGATTAAAACCATATAAATATTAGCAGCCATGCCTGAAGCCGTCGTGGCTGCAAGCGGGATCAAAAACAAAGGAAGCGCGTATGTGGACCGGGACAAACCTGCCCAGATCCGCTACAGCAACATAAACGCTGGGAAAGGTGAGAAATCTGATCGTTCAGGAGGAGTTTTTATTGTAAAACACTGACAGGGACTTGTTTTATTTTACTGGTATACCTCATGACAATGTAGCGGAAGCGTGAGCCCATTAAATTGCTATATCGTCATAAACATGGCCGTATCTGTAAAAATAATAATATTTAGATTTTTGCAGAAGTGAATGTTTTTGAAATTAGATGTGAAGTTAAATCTGGTTATTACAATGCAGATTCACATGAGTCCATATAAGGTGTGGCCTTCTTTATGACAACACATGTAACGGTAGCTAACGTTACACTAAAAAGTAACGTACGTTATTGGTGCATATTTGTGTGATTGTTATTAGTGTAATTAAAAAATGTTCATCTCACCAATTTCTGTTAAGGAAAATGAGGCTTCTTAAAATAAAATAATACATTGTATATAATCAGTGCTCAGCATAAATGTGTCTAAAGCACATCACATAAAAACCCTCACAGGTCTCTATTTTAAAATATTATTTTTTATATGACGTCTTACAATAATATATTTGTGCATATCCATTGGTTTAGTCAGTGCCAAAGTCAAAAACGGGAACTATCAGTCCAAATATTAGTACATCTGTTATCAGTGCAGCAAATACAGCACGTGTTGGGGAAAATATTTTAAAAATTGTAATAAACAGAAAAATACAAAATTAAGTAGAAATCTTGTACTTAGTTTTTTTTTTTTTTTTTTGCCAATAACTTGATTTTAAATGCATTATCTTTTAGTTTTTAAAGATGTATGATGACCAAACAGTATTTCAGGCTCTGCTGCGATAATTACAGTTGCTATCAAGATTTTTTGCTGTATGGACACGAGTGAATGTCAGCAAGTGAGGATTGGTGGCTAATGATGAATCCTTTTTCTATTGACAGCTGTCGCAGATGCCATCAGAACAAGTCTGGGCCCTAAGGGCATGGATAAAATGGTATGTTTGCCTTTTTTTTTTATTTGTCTAAATCTCCTGACTTTATATGTATTTATTTCATGACTTGAATTGTATATAAGTGACTGTACTGTCTGTAGCCTGAGTAAATAATTGAGTTTTCTGCAGATCCAGGATGGGAAAGGAGACGTCACCATCACTAATGACGGAGCCACGATCCTCAAACAGATGCAGGTGCTGCATCCCGCAGCCAAAATGGTAAATCACAGTTGTTTTCCTTTATTTAGGTGAAATAACCTGAACATGTTTGTTTTTGATTGACATTGTTAGACTTTCTACGGAGCTTGGCCTTGTTAGTTCATTAATAATGCTTTGTATAAATGCTTTGATACAGATTACAAAAGCACTACAAGAGGAATGTAAATATACCAGAAATACAGACAATATAGTTAATAAATGATGAACAGATAAAAAAAATAATAATATAAAAATACTTTACAAATGAAGGCAAAAAAAACTGCGTTAGCCAGAAGTTCAGTATGTTGGTGTACTTCTATCTGAAACTGAATATTAAGTAGGGGGCGGGGCTTTCTATTTCGCATGAAGCTGCGGTCACACTGCACTTTTCTCCCCATAGACTTTCATTCATATGCACTTGAATGCGTCAGATCGGAAACGCAAGCTCGTGCATCAAGTTTTGCAGTTTGCTGCATCGGAAAGTTTAAGCTTGGCGAACTCTGACCTGCGAAATCACATCACTTGACTGCATGAGACCAATCGAGGATCAAAACATGACCTCTCTGGACAGAACTTTAAAATACGGACCAGTCGCTCGCTTTTTTAAATGTCTAATCATCTTGTTTAATCCCGGTCTTTTTTGCAGTACCGTACTACAGAATTTTGCTCACACAAACTCTAGTATGACAGCAGCTTTATTCGCTCATAGCAAATTAACAGTAAGAGAGGCGTGGCTAAGAATATTTTGGCTGAAGCATCAAACTGACATCCTCAGAGAATTGGCCAATCCAAACACAGAAGCAAATGGTCAGACTTTGATTGAAGATTACCAAAATAAACATTTAGAACGGATTAATTGTTTACCTAAAAATTAACAAAGTGCACCAGCAAAATAAACAATGCAAGTTCAGATTTCACACTGACTTTAGGTGAGATGATGTTATACTAAAAGAAGTCACCTCAATTGTGAGAGCAGTGCTTTTGTTTTGAATTGCGTCTTGACTTTTAAGAATTGAATCAAATTGCAAATGATTCCCTCTGTATATATCCTGATAATATCTGCATTGTAATGGGATATCTGTGGGTGTTTCAGATGGTTGAGCTGTCTAAAGCTCAGGATATCGAGGCTGGTGACGGCACTACATCAGTGGTGGTGATTGCTGGAGCTCTTCTGGATGCCTGCGCTAAACTGCTACAGAAAGGTAAGCTTTAGTTTTGTTTAAGTGCATAATTAAAGGTCCTGTGAAATTAAATTAAATGTTGTTTAGATGTTAGTTTCAGTATGTTAGGATATCAATACGCTGATGTGCTCCAAATTAGTGACAATTTCCATTTAGAAGCATCGTATATACATCAAAAACTTGCACTTTTGGCTCGTTTCCACTAATGGCCCGTTTCCACTGACTGGTACAGTACGGGTCACCTTTAACAGGCTTGTGTTTCCACTACCAAGGGTACCCTTTTGGTGGGCTTGGTGTACGACAGAGTTTTAGTCGACGTCATTCTCACTTGAATAAATGAAATAAAGCTGCACAGCTCCACATATCATATGAGAAGCACTTCTCACAAGACAGATGCTTTATACACATAAATACTTGTTTATAAATGTTCATTACTAACTTTTCTATGAACATAATTTAATTATAACCGCAGCTCATTAACGAATCAGTGCGAAATAGCCTACTGTAATGTCTGCAATTATATAAAATAAAAAAATAAATGCTACATATGAACACGGACAGCCCCTTACATTCTCCCGATGTTACTAAATACAGAAAAACTACACACGGTATATAGTTAGTCCTTATTTAGGTTCATAAACAACAAGCAACATAGCCCACAGTCAGCACAAACCTCTCATCTGTGTCTGTAATCTTCAGCAGCACATGTAAACTCTGTTATAGAGTAATTCTGTCATTCAGAGATCATAATAGTCCAAAAGGCGATGATTAACATGGTAGTTTGTTCATGACTAAGGTTGCTGAAACAATTTGCTCCTGTGTGTTGTCGGGCTTCTCCTTTGTTCGCGCTTCACTTTCGCATTTGTACTTTTCTTTCTGAATGGATCAGATGATGGAGACACTTCAATAATCACGCACACGGTATTATCGTCAGCTCAAGAAGTTTGTTATATCAAATATAGACGCGAGCTCCTGGAGGAAAGCAAAAACCGCTCACACTTATAGACAGGCTCGCAAAACAACAACAGGACATGGCAGATTTTGTTCTTCTTGGCTTTGTGTCTGTACATCAAGACAACGACAAAGTTTGTTTGAGCTCGGGTCATCCATGGCTCTTTATTATATGCATATAGTTTTACAGTCTAATGTCTCGGCTGTGTATAAAAACATGGTTCCTTTGTTTTCATTCTGGCTAGCTCCACACGTATCTCTGTAACCAATTAGCTTTCAGCTGCGTGTGTAGCTCCCTTTTGGTACCCTTTCGAAAGGGTGCTGAAAAAGTGGTACAGTACGGTACGCCTTCTCACAGGGGAAACAACCATAAAAGCGTACCGAACTGTACCACTCAGTGGAAACGGGGCATAAATGCTATAGGCTGTTTCTTATAAAGGAGAGGAGCTACTTTAAGTCCCAATAGAATTGGTAATAGTGCTGGGCAAAGGTTAATCTTGATTAATCACATGCGAAATAAAAGACCGTTTTGAAATAATATATGTTTGTTTATTATGAATATTTATTATGTTATATTAACGCACAAAAGCAAAACTATATATACTATTTGAATTCAACAATGGTTAGTGTCTTAAAGCAGCTAATTTTGACATTAAATTGAATAATACTTCATTTATTTCTAAAAGTGTAAGAGTTTTTATAAAATCACAATCCAGAAAAAATTGCATTTTAATAAAACAAATTAAAGCACTACATTAAATAATTTAAATTTTTAATTCCAATCGGTTAGTAATTGTTAAATTTTGGATGAGATTTGCATGTAAACTTGGTTATAATGTAGGCGCACACACAGAAGTCATTCAAGCTCATTTATTTATTTTATTCTTAGCCCATCGAGTATATTTATTTACTTATGTAAATATATATTTATTCAGTTTTTATATTAATTTCAGTAATTTTATTAACTGATAGGCAGATATTTCTATGATTTATGTGCAATACAGTTTGTAAAGTCATATTTTCTGTCTTTTAGAAGGTGTATTGTATAAGAGACTTGCTTTGTTTACCAAATAAGTGGATATAATTGGATTTGATTTCTAATCCTTTTATAAAAGATATAATTTTTATTTAATGTTTTCAGTTACTGTGTTCCCAATATCCAATAGCCTACTGGTTAAGTGTGCCGACATATCAGGTCATGGTGATCCGAGTTTGATTCCCTGCTCGAGGTCTTATGCCTTCTACTGTTCTATCGAGTAAAGGTGGAAACCCCCTAAAAATTAAATAAAACAAAAATGATGCACAGAAATAACAAAAAATGTCTACAGATTCTGTCAAACCCTGACTATAAGGGTGTTTATGATAACAGAATGGACATGATCTGTTTTTCCTGGCAGGGATCCACCCGACCATCATTTCCGAGTCCTTCCAGAAGGCTGTGGATAAAGGTGTGGAGGTCCTGACATCCATCAGTACACCGCTGCTGCTCAGTGACCGCGAGAGTCTCCTGAACAGCGCCTCCACCTCGCTCTGCTCTAAGGTGGTGTCTCAGAACTCCAGTCTGCTTGCGCCTATGAGTGTAGATGCTGTCATGAAGGTCATCGATCCTGCTACCGCGACCAGCGTCGACCTCAGAGACATCAACGTGGTCAAGAAACTCGGGTGAGTTATAAATTATTTAGAGGGCTCTTATTGTACCCCTTTTACAAGATGCTTTTTGGTGTCTTGAGAATGTGAAGCTCAAAATACAATGCAGGATATGCCCAATTTGGCCTCAGAGCAGTGTAGCTGTTTTTGTAGCCTGTTCCTTTAAATGCAAATGAGCTGGTTTTCTCTGCCCACCAATCCCGCATGTCTGCTTCTACTGCGTTACGTCAGATAAACAGCAGTCAGTGACAGATGCAAACACGGATGAAGCAGAGATTCAGTTTATGAGTCAAAAATACCAAGTTTGGTTATTTGATGTATTTAAGGTGGTATTTATTCAATTCTGCAAGGACGAGTCGCACACATTTGCCATTACAAAGGTTGCAGTACTCGCACATACATGTTGACTAGAACTTTGCTCTCATATATTGTTGCTCCTCGTATATAGTTGTACTGTCACTATGTGACTTTGGAGATTCCTGCTGTTATGAATTACATAGTGATGTTTACTACAAACATACACTGTTTTAAAAATGCTTTAAAAGTGTAGACCTCTTTCCTGAGGTGCAGCTGATCACAGAGAGTTGGAACAGATCTTTTAATTCCAATTTCTTTGCAAATCCTGATCTGTGGACACTATGCATTACTATGAAGTGGTGCTGGGCGATTAATAGAAAAGTAACCGGATTTCAGACATTCAGAACCTATTGACCTTATTCTTCAATGCGGAAGTGCGCTCATTTTCGCGATTGTTTCAGAACTTCCGATTCAGTTACCTATGGGAGAAATGACTAGGAACAATAAACGGCTGAAAACGGTCAAACTACTTGCTCTATAAACAAGTGTTTGCATTATTAAACAGACAAAATAGAATAATATACTAAGAAACTATCAGTTTGAAACATAAAGCAGCAAAACTAGCTGTTTTTAACGTGTAAAAATGAATGGAAGTGAAGGAGACCGGAAGTCTCTAGCCAAAAAGATTCAAATGCCTGCGCCCGCTCGTGCACAGAGAATAAGGTGAATAATAGGATCTATATTTTGCAGGTTAATTTTTTTAATTGCACTCCTGCCGTGTGTGGAGTCACATGACCCTGCTTTGTCAAGGCTAATTAATAATTATGTTATGATTTATTCTTATTATATTCTGATATTTTACTTGTCAAGAACTCATCACACCACCTTGCGCCTCTCAAAAAACATAACTGCACGTCACAACGACATGTAGTACAAGCTTTGTGCTTGGTCGCTTTGGTAGCGGTGACGAGAGTGGGCAGTGCGGAGTGTGCGTTTTAGGCAATTTGTGTTTTAATTTGAAGTTGTTCATCATTGATGTTCATTAAATAATCATAGATAGTAGTGTGTGTTTCCTTCAATCATTTTAAAATCAAGTAATGCCCCCTTCTTTCAAAAGTCTGACTTGTAATACGGGAGCATATTTACAATAGAAAAATTGTCAGTAAACTTTTATGGCAAAAACATCAAATAAATAGTTAAAATAATCCTTCATCAATCGTGATTGAGTTAAAATGTTCAATTAATTGAGATTTAGATTTTAGGCAAAATCGTCCTCCCTTACTATGGTGACATGGTAACACAAGCCTGTCAATCAATTTGATGAGCGAGGAAAACCGCACTGCTCCATCACATTGCTGTGGGCCTCAAAATCACTGGGATTTGGATTCTATTTTAACGTCAGGAATTTAAATAAAGAGACTTGTTGTGTTAATTTGACTCCAATATGACTGTGGACACACTATACCTACACACAGTTCTGTCCAAACAGCTTTCAAAGGGAGGTTTTGCATCATGGGTGGCCTTTAACATTCAAAACCTGGAGAATTAACGACCAGTTATTCAGTCCTTCAGGGTTCTCACTGGTTATGGAAATTCTGACATTTCAGACATAAAAAATTAGGCAATGTTGTATATGTGTATTAGAATAACAATCACACCTCCTAAAATCCAAATGCATTTGAGAGCAAAAAAGGCTTAAAGGTGATGATGGAAGGTGCTTGTCTTATTGATGGTGGTAAGGTTGCAGGAAGAAGCTGTATTTACATTTACATTTCGTCATTTGCCAAACGCTTCTGTCCAAAGTGACTTACAATTGAAGAGACTTTCAGCAAATCAACACGAAGAAGCAATACACACAGGTAGTGCTAGTTATACAAAGGAGCTGTTAGCGCTCGGAGAATTAAAGTCTAGAGTAGTTTGTTTTTGAAAGAGGGGGGTGAAGAGTGTTTCTACAGGTGGTTTGTCAAGTCCACTTACTTGAAGCTCACTTCATAAATGCAAAGTGAAATTCTATTTGTTTTTTGTCTTTGAAGTGGTGATTTGATGTGTGTGTTTGCTTGCAGAGGCACCATTGATGACTGTGAGCTGGTGGACGGGATGGTTTTGACTCAGCGGGTGGCGAGCACCGGAGTGTCCCGTGTAGAGAAAGCCAAGATCGGCCTCATCCAGTTCTGTCTGTCCCCTCCCAAAACTGATGTATGGCTGCATTGATTTTTCTCTCTCAGTCTTCAAATTTAGTCCGTATCGTGCATTGGTCTTTGAGATCATGTTTGATTGTAATATGTGCTGCTGATGTTGAGACAGATGGACAATCAGATCGTGGTGTCGGACTACGCTCAGATGGACCGTGTGCTGCGTGAGGAGAGAGCCTATATCCTCAATCTGGTCAAACAGGTGAAGAAAGCCGGCTGCACTGTGCTGCTCATCCAGAAGTCCATTCTGAGGTACAAAAAAAACCCCCACTAAATTACTAAACCTACAGGAGTTGGACAATGAAACTGAAATGCCTGGTTTTATACCAGTAATTCATTAGTATAGTCTAGGGCAGGGGTCACCAATCTCGTTCCTGGAGGTCCTGTGCCCTGCAGGGTTTAGCTCCAACTTGCCTCAACACACCTGCCTGGGAGTTTCAAGTATATGTAGTAAGACTTTGATTAGCTTGTTCGGGTGTGTTTGATTTGGGTTGGAGCTAAAATCTGCAGGACACCGGACCTCCAGGAACAAGTTTGGTGACCACTGCTCTAGAGCCTCCTTTTGCGGCCAATACCGCATCAATTCTCCTTGGGAATGACAGTGGCCAGTGGGATTTTGAGCTATTCCTGCAGAGGAAAAAGTGAAACCCCAAAGTGGCTCAATAATATTTAGTTCTGGTGACTGTGCAGGCCATGGGAGCCAACTTCACTTTCATGTTCATCAAACCACTCTTTCATCAGTATTGTTAAGTGTATTGGTCAATTATAATCCTGATGCACAGCCTTTAGGATGCAATGTTTAAACCTATCTAGGACTAGTATTGGGCCTAGAGAACACCATTATATAACTGATCAAACTATCAATGGTGTATCAATCTGGGGGTATATAACAATCGGGGAGGTGCTTTACTCTGAGCATGCATCTTTAATATATATATATACACACACACACACACATTATTGCATTTAATAAAACTAAAGAGCAATATAAAAAACTAAATATAAAGAGCAATGTAAAATATCTTGAGTATTTCTGAACTAGTCTCCTCTTAAAAATAAGCTTGAAAAGAATCTGAACCTTATTCAATGTGTGTATTATTGAACCTTATTCAAATGTGTGTAAATTCCGTTCACATAAAGCATCTATTAGCCGTGCTCAGCATGTTTGTGTGTGTTTCAGAGATGCTCTGAGTGATCTGGCCCTCCACTTCCTCAACAAGATGAAGATCATGGTGATCAAAGACATCGAGCGGGAGGAGATTGAGTTCATCTGCAAGGTATCAACCAGCACTGTCATCAAAACGTAACATGCATTGTGTCTGATTTCGGGACACACGTCCTATAGAGGCTTCACATTGACTTCTGCTTTGTGATTCTCCTCAGACTATCGGCACCAAACCCATAGCTCATATTGACCAGTTCACTCCAGAGATGCTGGGAAGCGCAGAGCTAGTAGAAGAGGTCAGCCTGGACGGATCCGGAAAACTAGTGAAGGTATCTTTTTTATGACCTTACAAATTAATTTATATATTTATTGATAAAACATTTTAATAGATTGTACATTTTTTCAATAATATTAGAGAAGTTTTTTGTTCCTGAAATGTTTAAAAATGAGTTTTCGGGAGGGTTTTTACAATATTTATCCCTGATTAAATTGAAAGATCTTTTAACAGTGTTGTTATTTGTAATGCTTTGTTTTTTGTACAGTGCATAATTAAATTATATATTGAATATTAGTACAAGTGTTCCTATGAAATAGGCAACGCTGCTGATATGACATTAAAATATACATCATGCAAAAGTTCAGATGTTTAATTCTGACAGTGTCAGACAATAACGGTAGTGTTTGTGTTTGTAGATCACAGGATGTGCAAGTCCTGGAAAGACGGTCAGTATTGTTGTGCGTGGCTCTAACAAACTTGTGATTGAGGAGGCTGAGCGCTCCATCCATGATGCTCTCTGCGTCATCCGCTGCCTGGTCAAGAAGAGGTAACCAACAATTGTATTTATGGAGTTTTCTTTATACTTTTCCTTACTGGCTGTCTTAGTTTTGCGTGTATTTTGTTCTTCAATTTAATTCTATGATCAAAAGTCTTAGTAAGATCTTTGTGGGTGTAAATTATAAATCCAGTGAAAATGGATTCATGCAATATCTGAGCTGCACCAAACCTTCTGTGTAAATGCACCTAGATAATAGATAATGTGCACATATTTAAAAATGTTATACTAATTAGGATTGTTGTCGCTGCTTTGTATATAAAAGTATAGTGTAAAGCAATATATTATAATGGTAATAATATACACCTTTTAAAAAATTTTCTTCCAAATTGTAAATAAAAATAATAATAAAAAAAAAAAAAAATATATATATATATATATATAATTTTATTTTTTCATTTATTTATTAAGATAATACTGTTTAATAAAATCTTATTTTATATTTGGAAAAATGTCATCAGTAGTTTATGGAATAAAACTATTCTGTTTTTCTCAAATATAAATTGTAAATCCAGAGAAGTCTCTTAATTTTTACCCTTTTTCCAACTTTTGCTAGTATCACTCTTCCTAATAAATCAGATGTATCATTATTCTTCTGTATCTGATTTTCTTGCTAACTGCTGTTTATCTGCAGAGCTCTGATTGCTGGCGGTGGAGCACCAGAGATCGAGCTGGCGCTGCGGTTGGCCGAATACGCCCGCAGTCTGGGCGGCATGGAGGCATACTGTGTGCGAGCGTACGCTGATGCCCTTGAGGTCATTCCCTCCACGTTGGCAGAGAACGCAGGACTCAATCCCATCTCCACTGTCACCGAGCTGCGCAACAGACATGCTCAGGGTGAAACGACAGCCGGGATCAACGTCCGCAAGGTGATGCTTTAAACCAGTAGATCTGTATATTCGCTTGTTAAGTCACGACATATACAGTTTCCAGGTCTTAGCTGCTACTTATTTGAATTGAGAATGTTTATGACCACTTTTTAGTCATACCCATTGGCATCATCCAATCAGATTGCTTTTATCAATACTAGTGCAAACGCCAGCCAATCACGTTCATCAGAGAGTACTGATGTGTTAAAATAGACACCATGGCTTTAAAGGACAAAACAGCATTTCGAGCACATTGTAAAACATCAGAAATGTTGTTAAGGTCTTTCTAAAATCCCTCAGCCAAAGTCTGTCATTACAGTGGTTCAGTATTATTATTACCCCCAGCACTGTCTTGAGCATCTCAAACCTCCAATGGTGTTTCGTCTTCTGAAGCCTGGTTTATACTTCTGCGTCAAGTGACCGGCGGAACCAACAGCGCATGCAGTGCGCGTAGCTGTGCATTTATACTTCTGCGCGCTGTCTCGGTTGGTCTGCATTAACACTTCCAAAACGCTAGTTGGCAGTAAGGTGTAAATGTGTCTCTGTGATGAGTTTCTTCGCTGGTGTTTTGTACTTTCTGAATGCTTCCGGGATGTACAAGTGGCTCAAACTCGCTCATTTTGAGGCAGAAACCGGCGAACGTGCAACAACTTTAACTATGAGGTAAACACAAAACAAAACTTTCCATCCGGAGCTCCTTCACGGGACTCCACACTTGTAAACAATTGCTCCATCAAGCTCTCGGTCCCGCCTAGACTCGACAGCGATACCAAGCCGACCAATCATAGAGCTTCCGCTATGCATCGTTGCGACGTGTAGTTAAACTTTTTGAGAGGAGCACGTCAGCGACGGCCACAGCGTAGGGCTATGCGTTGACGCGTAAGCTGCGCTGTAGCATATGCGTGCGTTTGACGCAGAAGTATAAATCAGCCTTGAGGCGCAACTCTTATTATATCAGAAAAAAGGCCCCCAGTTTATCAGGAAGTGTACTGTGTTTCTACAGAAATGTGAGTGTCTGATGTGTTTTTCCTCTTAGGGGGGCATTTCCAACATCTTGGAGGAGCTGGTGGTTCAGCCTCTGCTGGTCTCCATCAGCGCTCTGACCCTCGCCACTGAAACGGTCCGCAGCATCCTCAAGATCGACGATCTCGTGAGTCACGCTTTACATCTGATGTGCAAATCTGTCTAATTGGGATATAGCCAGAAACACAGTTCAGGATATTCAAAGTTTAACTCCAATAATACGAAAGATGTGTTGTTAAGGACTGTGACTGTACGACATCAAGTGAATTTAAACCATTTGGGCACAATAAGTTTGGTGCTTTAACAAAGATTAATTATGTTTAATTATTTAATAGACTAAAGTAAAGACTATGCAGTATTATTTTACATTTGATTATTGAATTTTTATAGTTTAGTACTGTTAAAGTCCCTCTGAAAACCATAAAGCGTTGTTAATTTCATTTTTATTTTGGTTCTGTTGCTTTATTTTATTTTGCACATTTTATATTTTTTTCAGATTCACTCAACTACAAATAATTCTAGTCAATTTAAAATGAGCAATTCTTCCAAATAGTCATCTTGTGAAATAATGTTCATACCGCAGAAAAACAATATATCACAATGCCAGTTTTTTCCAATATCATGCATCCCTAACATACGGTAACATATAGACCTTTTCAATGTAGTCATGTCTTGGCCCATTAACATTTTCTGCTTGTTATTAAACTATTTCATAACTAACAAGAGGCAGTTCAATCATATCTTAATGTTAAAACGGGTATCATAACATTAATTATTAATATGTGGCTCTTTTTGTGTTCTTGAAATATATATAGAAATTAAACATGTAAAACAGGAAATATGTCGGGACCATTGTTTTTGTTTACATCTCTCAAAATGGTCTATTGACGTGTTTTCATAGTTCAAGTTCAGTTTGCTTTATTGGCATGCCATTTTATAAAGTATTGCAGAAGCATTTTTGATGTATGTGTATATATACAATGTAATATACACTTAAAATGAATGAATTTTGGTGTTTGTTTAAACTAAATTAAATTGAGCTGAAACAATTATTTTTATTTTTATTTTTTTGGGACAACTTGGTTGTTTTATGTTCAATCAACTTAACTTAATGAATTTGTGTTGGGACAACATGAATAAATTGCGTAGACCCTCCATTTATTACAGTGTAATACATTTGAAACAAGTGTATTTTGGATGTTTTATTTACTCTACGCATTGAGAAATCCTTAAGCTGATCATTGTATAAAAAATGGCTGTTGTGCCTCATCTTAAATGACCCTTAAATTAGCACTGATGTTGTCTGTAATTATCCAGCCATTAATGCCATGTCATTTGTTCTGCAGGTGAACACACGATAAAGTGTTTGAAGAAGGAAGATCCAAACCCCGCGCCGGCACTCCGATAAGACCAACTGATCTGTCGCTGTCTGTAGATGTTACCTGGAGTAATTTAATTAAACATGTTTTTTTTGACACTGTATGTCTTGTCTTTGGTGTTATTTGTGCACATGTTTTTGTTTCTGTTAGGTTTATTGAGGGTTTACTGTGGTCGGTGCATCTCTGCATGTCAGCTTAATCTTATTAGCTAATCACCTTATCTGATCAGAATAGAGCATTGCTCCAGGGCCTGAGAAAGTCTGAAATCAAGAGCTGGACATTCACTCTTCTAATAAACAACCTTTGTTTTTATTTTAGAAATGCGCTAGAGTGTTTTAACCTAATTTGCTAAACTTGGTATTTCCCTGTAACGTGATTTTAACCAGTATTTGGTCTGCTTTTAAATTTATGTAAGTACATTTTTCTGAACTTTTGAATTAAAAAAGAAGCTTATTTTGGTATGAGGATACGCATAATATTAATGGTTGGGTTTATACATTTTGGTAAATGTAATTTTAATGAGTGTATAATTTTTATTAATTACAGGAAATCTTGTAGCAACAAAATTGAATGCTGGTATTTTAGGACATGGCTCATTTTAAGGGTGTGGTAAACAGTTTTATTTTATTAAAATATCTTTAGTCATCATTTTTTAAGAGTATGGCAAGTGGAATAGTCCAAAGTAGTACCATTTACAGCTAGCTGAAAACATTTTAAAAATATTTATGTATTTAAATATATGCTTTAAGTATGTGTTTATTGTTCAAAAAGCACCTGGAAACTAATACTTAAGATTACTAGTCGTGGAAAAATTAGGGTGCCATTTTAACAGCCAAAAAAACTATAGCCTACAATGTTTTTATTTATTTTTTAATTAATTTTTTTGTCTTGAAGTTTGGTGACTTCTAAATTTAGCCCAACCTTACGTACAAATGGTACAACAGTGGTCCTTTGGGTCAATTTTAACTAGCCAGATATAAGGCCATTTTTACACCACAAAGTCTACTGGCACACACGCATTCACACTTTAACAAACAATGAGAAACTGTTGCTTTATATAAACCTTTGTACACTTATCCAGGTGTCTTTTAGCATTGGTAAATATACCCTTCAGTCAGAAACGAGTGTTGCCCACTGACTAAACATTGATGAAACACTAATGAGGGGAAAACTAGACATTCACAGAGTTTGTGATGAAAATGAGGTAGTTTCTTCGTTTAAAATTTATTTAAGGATTGAAATGTAATTTATCTGATTTATTTTAGAGGTTTAGTAGTTTTTCACCGAAGGACGAATGGTGTATACAGAATTCCAAGACAACAGTAGGGTTAAAACGGAGAGAAATGTTTACATCCTTACTAGTTCTTTCAAATGCGCGCTCCCGCAGATTAGCGCCCCCGACGCTACGCGGTCGTCAAGGAGACGCGCTCCCGCTACGGTTCAGGGAGGAAGTCAGTCAGTCATTCGTTTATATCAAATCTACCGCTTTGGAAAGAGAAGCAGATATGAAGAAATCGCACCGTACAAATGTCTTGGTGACATCCTGTCTGAAGACCCCGGTGGACCCGCAAACCAAAGTGCCGTTAGCTCAGTACGAGCGGGAGCGGACACTGCCGCGCGCGGCCGCGATGACGGACAACAGGCACTATGAAAAAGAGGTGACTAAAAGCTATTAAACCGCAATAAATACAGTTCTAAAGTTATTTTAAAGGATGATGGTGATGTTTAACGTGTAAAAAGTCATTACATCAATGGAAATGTCTTTTCTTTTTTGGGATTGAAACTATTTTGAGGAGACAATGTTGCGAGGAGTTGTGTCCGTGAAGTTAACATGATAGACTGGTTAAACATCTCTTTAATGGATTAAGTGGAAACATTAACTTTAGTTTTAACTTGTGTAACTCCATGAAAATGGTTCAAAAATCATGTTTTGCTCGTTTAAAAGTAATAAGGACAAATCAATAGGCTTCACTGTGGTTATGAGTGTTTACATGGGTATAGCTAAATATAACTAAATAAACCTCAAAGGTTAATATGTTACATACGTAACGTTACTATTTTATTTATCTTTTTCTGCAATACACAACCTTATTTGTTAGCATGATGTAAGATGTAGAGTAATATAGTGTTGATAACATGACCAGGATGCTGATTAAACAGACAATCTCCTGTATGAATGGAGAACACAATCTGCCATCTGGTCCTAAAGCTGACACAGACCTGCAGATTAACAGATTACACACACACAGTCTTCTCATGTTGCACACATACAACTACTGACCGCACAAATGTTGTTCAGACTTAAATTTCACTATAGAAGAGTGTGACGTATGAAAACACAAGGCTTCAGCCAACAGTCCTTGGTTTCTTTGTATATATAAACACGTCTGTAACACCACTGTTTTCTCAGTCAAGGCTTCCTAAAGAATTACACAGATTAGGTTGCGTATTTAATAAATATATGAAAAGGTTTTAAAGGGATACTTCACCCAAAAATGAAAATTCAGCCTTCTTTTCCAAACCAATTTGAGTTTGTTTTCATGACCACGAAAGAAGACATTTCGAAGGATGTTGGAAACCAGTAATCATTGACGTCTATAATATTTGTTTTTCCTACTAAGGAAGTCAATGGTTACATGTTTTCAGCATTTTTCAAATTATCTTCTTTTGTGTTCAACAGAAGAAAGTCAAACTGGTTTGAAACAAGTCAACAGTAAGCACATATTTGGTCGTACTGTCTCTTTAATAATATAAAACCTATAGTTATCCATTGGCATTTTAACCTGTTTGGATGTATGCTAACAAATCCGCCTGTTATCATAGTGTGCATTTTACAATACATTTTAATTTTACATTTTACATACATTTTAACAGATGGAGTATGACTCTGGATCTGATTTGGTGGCTGATGACCCTCCTGCCAAAGACAACAATGCTCTGCTTATCAAAGACTACCGTGTGACGGGCGATCGCATCGACCTCAGGGAGTTTTACTTCTCAAACCAGGAGTACTACCGTAAACTAGAACAGCTGAAAACAGCTCACCTCCAAACAATGGCTGAACTCGAACTAATGTATCGCAAGAAACTCGACCTTAAAGGAGCGACTGCTGTGGACAACACTGAGCGGGCCAATCTGTGAGTTTATGTACATAATATATAAGCACAATAATAAGTGAAATGTTATCATATTTTAAATGTTTTATATTTGAATATATTTCGCATTATCATTTATTCCTGAGAGCAACACAATGGCTCAGTGGTTAGCACTGTCACCTCAAAGCAAGAAGGTTGCTGGTTCGAGGCCCAGCTGGGTCAGTTGGCATTTCTGTGTGGAGTTTGCAAACTAAATTGGCTATAGTGTATGTGTGTGAATGAGTGTGTATGGATGTTTCCCAGGACTGGGTTGCAGCTGGAAGATTATCCGCTGTGTTTAACAAATGCTGGTTAAGTTGGCACTTTATTCCGCTTTGATGTCCCCTGATAAATCAAGGGACTAAGCCAAAGGAAAATGAATGAATGAATGAATTTATTCCTGTGATGCAATGCTGAATTTGCGGCTAGTCTTCAGTGTCATGCGATCTATCAGAAATCATTGTAATGCTGTTTCACTGCTCAAGAAACATTTCTTACTATCAAAGACGTTAAAAAAGATAGATGCCGCTCAGAATTTTTATGAAAATTAGGGATTTTCTTTCATTTAAGTAGTAGCAGTTTTGGCTAAGTTTCTTCAAAAAATATTTAATTTGCCTACTAATTATTAATAATTAAAACTCCATTGTATTTAAATAACTTTTCTATTACTATATCTGAAAAATTATTTGATCACTACTAAAGTAACTGACTTAATACTACATAAAATTCCTATAAATCTTAATGAGTAGACAATAGAAAATTGAATCAGAGTCAAACTTTTACAAAATTAAAAGTAAAGCAGGTCAATAACTAACGTGAATTTTAGTTTACAAACAAAAAGTTTGAAGGTCAAAGGTTAAATGTGTCAAAACTAATTTTTTAATTAATAATTTTTTTAAGCATGATTGACATGTGTAACTATCTTTAGTTGAAAAACAGAGTTATACAGTTAACTATAGTTGCATTACTGAGAAAAAAAAATATTTCTTTGTTTTTCTCAATTGATTTCTACAATGAAAGTACAATACAAATACCTATAATTAATTAACCTAAAAATGAACAGTAATCCCTTACTTTTGTACAATTTTCAGTGTAAAAGTAGTTTAATTACAGTGACCATTCATTCATATTCCTTCGGCTTCATCCCTAAATTTATCAGAGGTCGCCCCAGCGGAAGGAACTGCCAACTTATCCAGCATATGTTTTACACAGCTGATGCCCTTCCAACCGCAACACACACTCATACACTCTCCTATGCACACACATATACTACAGCCAATTTATCTTATTCAATTTGCCTATAGTGCATGTGTTTGGACTTGTGGGGGAAACCGGAGCACCTGGAGGAAACTCCATCACCAACACGGGGAGAACATGCAAACTCCACACAGAAATGCCAACTGACCCAGCTGGAACTTGAACCAGCGACCTTCTTGCTGTGAGGCAACAGTGCTAACCATGTGTCGCCCCAAATTTAACCTTTAGTTGAATAACAGAATTATAGTTAACTCTGTTTGCATTACAAAAAAAAATTCTGTTTATGCGAATTGATTTCTACAAGGAAAGTACAATACAAGTACCTTTAATTACTAACCTAAAAATGAACATTAATCCCTTACTTATTTACAATCATCAATTGGAAAAGTAGTTTAATTACAGTAACTAATAACCCATCAAACCCAACTCTGATTAATTGAAAGACCAGCTTTTGTCACATCATCAAAGTCTACAATCACTTTTGATTATTTTCCTTATCATGTCCTTAACTAATGAAGGAAATCATTTATGAAATCTTACTTTTGAACGGTAGTGTATAACGCAAAAGTGCTCAAACTCGGTCCTGGAGGGCCGGTGTCCTGCAAAGATTAGTCCCAACCCCAATCAGACACACCTGGGCCAGTTAATCAAGCTCTTATGCTGCGGTCACACTAGAGTTTGAGCATGCAAAATTCTGTCGTACGACACTGCAAAAAGGGGTGGGATTAAACAGATTATAAGACTAAAAAAAATTCTGTCCAGAGAGGTCATGTTTTGGATCTTCGATTGGTCTCAAGCAGTCACATGATGCGATTTCGCAGTTCAGAATTCACCAAGGTTGAACTTTGCTATGCAGTGAACTGTGAAACTTGTCGCACAAGCTTACGTTCCAGTCTGCTGCAGTCCCATGCGTATGAATGAAAGTCTATAGCCACCTTTCCACTGCACACAACATTTGGACACGACTACGCACCCTTGTGGCAGTCGGACAGAATTTTCAGTTTTGTCTTACACCAATGGAGAGAAGCTGTTCTCGCAGTGTCCGAAATAAAGGAGTTCAAAAGCAAGAGCCTTTATTCTCCGTACATTCACCATGGTTCAATGAATGAATACTAGAAATACTAGAAACATTGGAGGGAATGTGGAGACAACTTTTAAAAAAAAATAATATTTTTTATTACTCATTTATGAATATAAATGTTTTTTTTTAATATAGACTTTTTCTAAAAAAAAAAAAAATTAAGAAAAAATGTACTATTTCTCATCTCAAGCTCATAGACCTGCTTGGACAACACTGAAACACATCACATGCGCTCGGCTGGTTGCATACGGTCTAGTCGCAGGAGTTCAAATATTTCAACTGCAGCTCAGTTCGGATCCAAGTTTTCTGAATATGGAGATGATCAGAACTCCCGGACTACTCTCCACTGGAAATGAATGACTTCCGGTCTGTCTCTTGTCATTTGTCGTGTGCAGTTGAAAGGAGGCTTATGAAGCGAAAAGTGGAGCACGACCGTGGCTTTACTAGGCCTACTAGAAACATCTGTACAGGTGTGTTGAGGCAAGTTGAAGCTAAAATCTGCAGGTCATCAGCCCTCCAGGACCAAGTTTGGGCACTCCTGGTATTACGGAAAACATTTCTTAGGGTGCTTTCACATCTGTAGTTCGCTTCATTTGGTCCGGACCAAGGGCAATAAATGATACATTGTTGTATTTTCTGCCGTCTTTTGGTCGTTTTCACACCACACTGCTGGCTTTGGTCTGAACCAGTTAAAACAAACCAAAATGCAGTCATCTGACAAAATCCACATCTCTCATTGGCCAGATGTTGTTGAACATATTTCCTAAACTGCTTATTGATTGGTCAGAATTCACGTGCAGAAAAATGCCAATGAACTCCCGCAAGTAAACAAAACCGGCAGACACAAATTGTTGTTTTTACTCTGGAGGGACGACTGCACTGATTGTTTCCCTGCTTTAGACAAACTATACATTTCGAGAATGAAGCGCGGCTGTGGCTGGAAAACAGTGTTTTAATGCATCGCTCGTCACTTCAGGAGGAGACGTGAATTAATTTAGCTAAACTGCCACATGGTCATCTTGCGGAAATATTACCAATGATCCATCAGGTAACGTTTTCCCCTCTCTCTCTCTCTCTCTCTGTTGGAAAAGCGCTGTCAACAACTATTTTTCCTCCATATCCCATAATGCACAGCGCATCAGCCTACGGCAGCTGGATTAGTCCAAAAGGCGCAGTACTTTTTGCGGTTGGACCTGTTTTAGCACGGATCATATTCTCACCACAAACAAACCGCTCCAGGGTTGGTTTGAAAGCGTACCGAGACCACTTCTTCAAGCAGGTCTCGGTACGCTTATTTGGTCCGCTTTTGGTGCGCACTCGAATACGATTGCTGCATTCTCACCTGCTTAAACGAACCGCACTAAATAGGAAAAACGAACTCTAGTCCGATTCAATCTAACTAAATAAGGCAGGTGTGAAAGCACCCTTAAACTTTGGAATTAAAAGTAAAAGAAAATTGTTAAATTCACAGATCCCCACAAGGAAGTCCAGTGATAACCAGCGGTCTGAAAAAAGCCCAGTCTGCTTTAGAGTTACGACGGACTTCAGATCCATCTGATTTGTCTGACGAAGAAGGCCAAGGAGATCGCAACACGGAGAAAGGCCTTCTTATCTCACCGAAAGAACACATTAAAAACATGTGGCAGGACTTTAGCGTTAATAAGCTTTCTCCACCTCACCGGCACCCCATGTCCTCCTCAGTGCATAGTCTACCAGCAGACTGCCAGGGTATTAGCAAACCCAAAGAAAGGATTAGAAGTCAGCGGGCGAAAAAACACAAGCATCATGAGGATTGGCATCCGAGAGTGACAGTCCCGAAGCCTTTCCAGATGACCGTCCGAGAGGCAGAATGGCGCAAGAAGGGTGTAAAATCGCGATCTGAGATCGAGCAAGAGAACGCGGATCTCCGACGGCAGCTGGAAGAGCTCAGCGAGTGCCAGAAGAAGTTTCGTGCCAGTCCCATTCCTGCCCATGTGCGCCTCCCGTTGTATGAAGATCTGCAGGAGCGTAATGAAGAGCGAAGAAGACTCCATCTGGAGTTTGAACAGCAGCGTCTTCACATCTCTCAGAAACCCTTCCGCTTCCTGGAGCGCGAACGGTTGAAGAAAGAACAGAAGGACGCCAAGCTACGCGAGCAAACACTTCAGCGTAACAAAGAGGAAGAGGAGAGGAGGAAGTGCCCGTTTAAAGCCAAACCTGTCCCAAAGGCGGTGAAGGAAGCCACGTTGGGCGAGCGACAGAAAGAGGAGGAACTCTACAGGGCAATTAAAATGCAGATGCGGGCGAGAGAGATGCTACACACTGCATCCATGCCTCCTAGCATGCTTGCGCGTCAGCTCAGCGAAAAACAAACTCAAAAGATCATCGTTAAAGATGCCGAAGAGACACACCAGCCCAAAATCAACGCTGAAGTGCCAGATTTCGATGCCAGCTACAGGAGGTTTCGGAAGCAGCTGGCAAAACGTAAAGAGGTGATGCCTGTCACATCATGCGAACCATTCCAACTGCGCACAGCTAACATCACATCGCACAAAGAACGCATCATGGCGGAAATCCAAGCAGAAATACAGAGCCCAAAACCATCGCGCTGGCCATTTGTGAACACGCCTGTCCTTTCGCCCAGGACGCCTTCATCTTCTCTTTGCTCCTCGCTTTCCGGAAGCCAGGAATGTTTGTCTGCTAAGATTACTGATGCTGCTAAGAAACGGCAAGAAGCTGTGAGGTAACAGTGAGACCGAACTCTCCTTTAAACCCTAAATGATTCCCTGCTCCCCTTAGTAACTCCGTTAGCAGTACAAGACTTCTGATCCTGTGTGGAAAATCTGAGCTGTGTTGTGTTCACTTATGGATGCTCCCGAATCCTCCTGCTGCCTTCAAGTTCTCATAGGAATCATCATTAAAGTCAAATCAAATCATCAAATCAAAATATACTCTTCTTATTTTCATATGTACAGTTGAAGTCAGAATTACCCCCCCCCTCTCGATTTAAATTTTTTTTTTTATATATATATTTTCTAAGTGATGTTTAACAGAGGAAGGAAATTTTCACAGTATGTCTGATAATATTTTTTCTTCTGGAGAAAGTCTTATTTGTTTTATTTCGGCAAGAATGAAAGCAGTTTTTAATTTTTTTAAAAACATTTTAGGGACAATATTATTAGCCCCTTTAAGCAATTTTTTATTGGATAATCTACAGAACATCCATCGTTATACAATAACTTTCCTAATTACCCTAACCTGCCTAATTACCCTAATTAACCTAGTTAAGCCTTTAAATGTCACTTTAAGCTGTATAGAAGTGTCTTGAAAATATCTAGTCAAATATTATTTACTGTCATCATGACAAAGATACAATAGATCAGTTATTAGAGATGAGTTATTAAAACTATTATTATTAGAAATGTTTAGATTTTTTTTCTCTCCGTTAAACAGAAATTGGGGAAAAAAATAAACGAGGGCTAATAATTCTGACTTCAGCTGTATATAGTAGCTATTGTTATAAAGATGTATCTGTGCATTTCATTATTTAGTAATAATTCATGTGTCTGTAGAATCGTTAATCAAAAGGCACAACCTCCCTGGTCACATAGAATTCCTTTAGGGTGGAGCTATCAATCATTTAGGGTGGAGCTATCAGGGCATGTCTCATTTCTCCTCTGCCTTCATTCATTCGTCAGTCTATGATTATTTTAGCGACCTTCTTGCTGTGAGCCGACAGCACTACCTACTGCGCCACCTCGTCACCTTCAAATGGATGTACTTGGGACAAAGGAATAATCTTAAATTCTGTTTCATGTCGACTTCAAAGGGATTAGCTCACCCAAAAATGAAAATTCCATTATTACTTACTGACCCTCATGTCAATCCAATCCCTTGAGACCTTTGCTCATTTTCTGAAATCAAATGAATATATTTTAGATGAAATCCAGGAGCTCTCTCAACCTCAAAACACAGCCATGGAGACTTTCAAAGTTCAGAGAAGCAACCAAAAACATAACAAAGTTTAATCACACAATGCTCCAAGAACACTTTTGTGCACCAAAAAGCTGTAAAAACAACTTTGTTTATATTTGTCTTTTATTCCGTGACAGACCATTGCGCACATTTACTATGACCATTATGACATACTGCCATTAGGATAAGCAGTGTAACATGCAAGCACCATATTGCTCATAGTAAACACACACCCAAATCTGACATGGAAGACATTGGCGAACAAAGCCAAACAAAATGTTCTTGAGCCACTGAGGTCACATGAAATGTTTCGACAAAGCTTTTGCTCCTTTCCTGGACTTTGAAAATCTCAGGACCCTTGCTGTCTATGGAGGACAAGAGAGCTCTCTGATTTCATCTAAAATATCTTGATTTGCACTCAGAAGATGAACAAAGGTCTTAGGGGATTGGAAAGACGTGATTTACTCATCCTCAAGCAGTACCAAACCTTTGTTAGTCTTCTTCTGTTAAACACAAAGGAGTATCATTTGAAGAAAGCTGAACACCATTGATATCCATATTGACAATATAAAAATAAAAAATACAGTGGAAGTCAAGTTCTCTAACGTTCTTCAGTTGTATCTACAGGTTTGGATGACAAATGAATAATGACAGGATGTTCAGTTTTGGGTGAACTATGCCTTTAATTTGCTTCGCCTATAGCACTGCAGTTGGTACTCATCATTATTGAGTCAATGTTAGCACTAACATTGAGTTTTGCTTATCCTCTATATCAGTGTTTCTCAACCATGTTCCTGTAGGCCCACCAACACTGCATGTTTTGGATGTCTTCTTTGTCTTTCACACCAATCACAGATTTTTCAGTCTCTGCGAATGAGCTGATGATCTGAAGGTGTGTTTGCTTAAGGCAACATGGGAAATGTGCAGAGCCAGTGGTCTTTCAGGAACTTGGTTGAGAAACACTGCTGTAAATGCAATCATTGTGACTTGAAGGCAGCATCAAGTGCTCTCCAACCCTGTTCTCGCAGTCTTGCCCAATAGTGCCATCCCTTTAGTGGCATCTCTCCAGCAAAGATTCACTTCTGAAAGCTTTTTACCCCTACACGAGTAGAAAAGTTCTCGAGCACAGAAAGAAAGCAGAAGAAGAGGAGGAGAAATGGAGGGAGAAGCAAAAACAGAGAGAGAAGAGGCTGCAGAAGCTGGTCACAAAGCGAGCTCAGGCCATCGATCCACATGTAACCCTGGCTCAGACATCCCCTAACAAGCTAAAAGAGTTCAGGTAAGCCAAATAACCTTGATTTCTCAAGCTACTGCTTATTTGATAATGTACAATAGCCAGCATTATTGAGTACAGATCTCTCTTTAAAATGAACACTTTCTATAGGATGCTAAACAATAATATATTTGATTATTTACATTACATTAGTCAGTGCCAAAGCCAAAACTGAAACTAATCTGAAAACTAACTTATGATCACAGTGCAAAAATTAATAATAAGTAGGCCCACATGGAATCTGCGCGCGCAAAAAATCAGATTTTTAGCCCATCATTGAGTCTGTTTACTTGTGTAAATTTATATTAATTACACAAATATGATTGTGATTTAATAATATTAATATTAAAATGTTTATATGATTTATGTACAATACAGTTTGTAAACTAGTATTTTCAGTTTTTTGTAGATATATTATACGAGTGGGGCGAGGCAGTGGCGCAGTAGGTAGTGCTGTCGCCTCACAGCAAGAAGGTTGCTGGGTTGCTGGTTCGAGCCTCGGCTCAGTTGGCATTTCTGTGTGGAGTTTGCATGTTCTCCCTGCCTTCGCGTGGGTTTCCTCCAGGTGCTCCGGTTTCCCCCACAGTCCAAAGACATGCGGTACAGGTGAATTGGGTAGGCTAAATTGTCCGCAGTGTAGGAGTGTGTGTGTGGATGTTTCCCAGAGATGGGTTGCGGCTGGAAGGGCATCCGCTGCGTAAAAACTTGCTGGATAAGTTGGCGGTTCTTTCCGCTGTGGAGACCCCGGATTTATAAAAGGACTAAGCTGACAAGAAAATGAATGAATGAATGAATTAGATGAGTGACTTGCTTTGTTTACCAAAAAAGTGGATCTAACTTGATTTGCATTGTAAACATCAAGTCAAAGTCAAATATAGATTATTTATTCATAAATTAATAATTTTGTAGTTATGATACTCCTTTAATAATTCCGCATAAATCGGCAGATTTTTTACAAAATTCTTTGCAGAAATACCAAAAAATGTCTGCAGATTCTTTCTGGCCCTAATAGTAAGTTAAGTCACTGTAAGGCAAGGCAAGTTTATTTTTATAGCACATTTCATAAACAATTGTAATTCAAAGTGCTTTACATAAATAAGAATAAAAGAAACCGATTAAAATGTGTAAATCTGGATAAACTGCAACTGTCTGACTGTCTTTTTGGGAAGGCCAGTGAGGAGTCCATTAGAGTAATCCACCCTGCTGGTCATAAAAGCAAGTTTCTCTAAGCCCTCACTGGAAACAAAGCATCTAATTCTTGCAATGTTTTTGAGTGATAGGATCAAGTGCAATGATAGTATCAAAGTCCCTTTAAGGCAAGTCATTTCACTCTGCGGCCATCTTTGAAACACCTCTTGGGCAGTATGCTCGGGCATTCTGTTTAAATGGGGAAACAACAAATTCTCCAAAACTACTTGCCAAGATTACAATTACATTTAACATTACCAATAACTAATGAAATAAAACAACGACTGTCTATTTAGTTTCATTTCTAAATGTTCGTATCACACAAATCAGCAGAAACTCACATCTGGTCCGAGCCCCTTCTTGGAGAATTGTCATTCAATAGCGATTGCTGATTGGCTACTGTATTAGAAGGCGGGCTTTATTCTCAATATAGCAATCGCTGATTGGCTCCTCTACTAGAAGGCGGGCCTTCATTCGCCATATTGACAGTTACACTATTCCTCATTCAAAAGTATACGAGTGACTTGTCTTGTGTATTCTATCGTCTTTGATAGTATGCTGACTCCAAAATCACATCAAGACTCGTGACCTCATTTTTTGTTGTTTGACCCTTAGAGCCAAGGTATGCATTCACCTTCAACATATGATTAAAAATATAATAAAATGCAATAAAAATTAGTTCACCCCATTGAAATTTCTAGTGAAATATATACAATAAATTGCAATACCGAAAAAAAAAACGATCAAAAGAAACATAAAAACTATGTTGTAGTTCAAATTTACTTTAATTAATGTGACTGTTTAATATAACTGTTTTGTTTAAATGCATCAAACTATGTTGTCTACATTCCCAAAGAAACTGATCAAATAATTTGCAAAAGATGCTGTACTTATTTATGCTCCGCACTATATACTGTATATGCTTATAAACAGGAAACAAGATCTCCAGAGACAGAAAGAGTATCAGGACGAGATGAGAGAAATCCAGAAAAGAGTAAAGGGAAGGCCTTTGTTACTGGAGCAAGTAGCACAGGTAGGCACATTATATCTAATTTATTTTGTTGTTTTCAATTTATAGGCTTTTCTTTGGGACTTGAGGAGAGACGGAGCACTTGAAAAGTCTCAAATTTGGTAGATAATATAAGGCTGTCTCTTGTTTTCTCAGATGAATGCTAAGAGAGCTGCTGAAAAGCTCTACTCTTCCACTTTGCATGGATGTGGTCTGAGTGAATCCTTTATCAGCAGTAAAGCTCCAAAGGGCTTAGAAAACAGACTGACTCCAAGCCCCGCCCACTCCGACAGCATGAGTCCACCCACATACAGGTATAAATGATCCACAAATAAACCAGCAAGTCAAAAAATCCCTTTTGTGTACAATTTAAAAAGATTTTTGTAGCATATTTATCAGATTTCCTCTGAAATTTCAATTATTTTTCAGGTATTTTCCAAGTTATCTTTAACGCCCCATTCACACGGGGCTTCAGCGTCAAGGCTTCCCATTCACTTTGAATGGGGTGATGTCAGGCGTTGCCAAACTGCATTGTGGATCCGTCGGCGCCGTTGCAGAGGCGTTGCTCGCTGCAGAAGTGGGGACTAGCTTAACTTTTCAAGCGTTGACGGAAGCGTCAGCCAATCAGATCGCTGTATGCGAATACACCAGCTAGACAGTGGCCTATTGCTGACTGAATTTAATTGGCTGACGCTGCTATGACGATCGCGTTAGCCCCAACTTCAAACACGCCTTCAGTCAAGCATTGATGCTGAAGCCCCGTGTGAATGGGGCGTAACAGAGCAAGAAACATTAACAGTATTCCCTTAAAATTTTTTCTTCCTGAGAAAGTCTTAATTATTTTAATTTGACTGGAATACAATCAGTTTATAGTTGTTTTCAAACTATTTTTAAGGCCATTATTATTAGCCCCCTTAGGAAATCATTGTACTCCATTGGCTACAGAACAAACCAATGTTGTCAAATGCTTGCCTAATTAACCCAAATTGCCTAATTATCTCTTAAGCCTTTAATTGGCCTAAAAACCACCCAAAAAGCTTCATGTACAGACTGCGATATTTATCTTCATGCTCACAGATCCACAAAATGACTGAAGGCATTATAGTGTTCATACCAGACCAGTAGTTGTCAGGTGACTTTATATAGAAAAGCAACTCACCTGCACACATGCATTCATTTTACAGAATTTATAATGCTAATACTTCCAAAAACATGCCCTTTGAAACTTATTTTCAGGCCTCTAGATTGCTGTTATTATATAAGTGATCAGCCAAACTGCTCCTAAGCAGAAATCTCAACTTTTTTCATTACTTTTTCCATGGCAGAAACAGACTTGAGGATGATGAGGATCTTCCGGACATGCAGGATTCTCTTCTCGATGACTATCCGGATGATTATGAGGAGTATGACCATGACATGGAGACAGAACTTGTCGATGGAGATGAGGAGCGGAAACACAGCGAACATCATGACTACGGGGATGAGGAAAAGGATGATGATGATGATGATGATGATGATGAGATGCAATTTGATGATGATGACTGTCAGGGGGATGATGACATCATCAGGAGGCACAGTCAGAGCAGCAAGGGTAGCGACAGAAGTGATCACAGCAACAGGAGTAGAACAGGTAGTGTTAATTAGTTAACTGCAGCGGTGTAAAGTAACAAATTACAAATACTCAGACTACTGTAATTGAGTAGTTTTTCCTCAGGAATTGTAATTTACTAAGTAGTTTTTAAAATGTGTACTTTCACTTTCCCTTGAGTACATGTGTAGTGCAGTATCGGTACTTTTACTCCACTACTTTCCCTCAACCTGCAGTCACTACTTTATTTTTTCCTGTCTATGGGGATTAGAAAAATCAGTCCTGTGATTCCTGTCACACATAGAAAGTAAATCATAATGAACTACCTCAAGACATGGGCGATTTATAATCACAGCAAACTGTTTGGAAGCATTAAAAGTGTCCAAGAAGATATTCAAAACCTTTACAAGTATTGACCCAGAGACGGTTTAGATGCATGTCACCGATGAGAAGATGAAAAATGTTTACCGTATGAAGACCGAAATGGTCTTAAACACCCAGCAGGCATCAGACGTCAACATGACGTCATCATGGGGACGTTACACTTTGTTTGGAAATGAAAATCGGGTTGACATCTGAACCCAGCGTCAGGCCAACGTCAATTTCCAGTCTAAAATCAACCAAATATCAACGTCTAATGATGTTACAGCTTGACATTGTGTGGACGTTACCACTTTGACGTCTATCAGACATTGTATTTTGCTTGCCATACCTGACGAATAAATGTCAGTATTTGATGTCAATTTGACGTTGATTTAAGATGTTAGCTTGACGTTGGATTTTGATAACTTTCTAACACAACCTAAAATCAACCAAATATCAACGTCATTTAACATTGTTATTGGACATCAAAATAACATCCTTAGACACTGGCTAGACATAGAATTTTGCTCAACTGACATCACAACCTAACTCTAACCTAATATTAATGTCATATGACGTTGTGTTCCTGCTGGGCAATAACTAAATGCACTACAGAATGTTACGTTTACACACATCCACAAATTACTGTAAATTGCTTTTTACAGTGTAATACTCACTATACTCTTGAAAGGGCTACTTTATAATTATTCTTTGAGTAATATTTACAACAGATACTTTTACTCTACTTGCCCTACATTTTTAGGGAAGTAGCCTAATGGTACTTTAACTTATGTATGATTTTTCAGTAATCTGTCCACCACTGGTTAACTGAAAAGACAAGTGTGAGGATCAGGAAGGTGATGAGAAACAGAAATGCCCCTAGTGGAGAACACTGGTATTTTCCTAAATATATTATTAGATGTTTGGGACATATTTTAAGTCATTTTCGTATTTAAGCCAAGCAAAACCTCAGTAGTAAGTTGTTATTATAGGCATTTTTAATAAAGTGAATCTCATAAACCTGTCACAACCAGGTAACAAGTAATAATAATAGAAGTATTTAAGAGCATGGGTGTACATTAAATAATAAAATCCTCTATTAAGCAATTATAAAGAAAAATAAACTAGCAGTCACTATTAAAAACAGAGATAATTAGCACAACCCTCAAAAGTTTAAGATAAACATGATTAACATACTTTGGTTGGAAATGTTCTGTATCATCCTGCAATGCAGCAAATCTTTTTAAAATAGTGTATAAATGTAATTAATATAGTCTAAATGTTATTACTTATTTCTCGTTTTGTTTGAGGCAGAATATGACCTCGACGTGTTTGCAGCTTGTTCACTTCATACACAGTAATGATGAACATATCATATATGTAAATATAAATGTCTATCAACTCATCAGATATCTTTTAAAAAGAGCCAAAAAACTGTTTTATGATGTGTATTACCAATCAAAAGACTGTGTTTGCATGTGTGGGAATGCAAATGTGTGAAAATAAAACTTAATACGTGAAAATAAACTTTACAGCATATTCATTCGTTCTCTATTTACTTCTTAAATATAAACACGCACATATAAAACATTTTAAACATGAGCCACGGCCTAAAAATACACATCATGGTCAGTTACTGTTTGTACATCGCAGGCAACATCTCAGTAATTTTCCATGCTCCACGCGGTCCAGCCCACCTCACGCTCACGCTGTGATGCAAAACCCGCCTTGCACATGAGACCAAGGGCAAAAAGACGCGCTGGGTGGGGTTTACCCTGACATACAGCGCTGTAAGCCAATCACACGCGAAATAGCAATCCGCGCTGCCCCCTCCGACCAATCAGCTGCTGAAGAGGGCGTTTCTGCAGTCCGAATTTTACGCGGCGCTACGGGCTGAAAACTAAACCGAGATGGAATATGCCAGTCTGAACCGGTTTCAACCGGTCTTGCGTGTGATGCATGAGACTGGCGAGGAGCTGGGTCACAGTCTCTCGCAAATATCTGCTTACAAAACAACGGTTTTTCTACACGAGACTAACGAATAAACTGACGATTGGTTTGATGCTGATGTTATAAAGCGGAGTGAGAAATTTAAGGCGGGCTGTGAGCCGTTATACAGACAGAGAGATGAACTAACACGAGCTGCTGCCTGAAAGAGGACCCGGACTCAATTACTGAAGGCAATAATTATAAATAACACCGAAATTGTGTTTTTTGTGGTATCGTTTGCTTTGCTTTGTAGTATGTATGGTTATACAGTGAGGTAGCCAGCTAGTTAGCATTTAAGGTGAAGTTGCTAGATGCTCAAACCGCCTTTTGAGTATAGTTTACACATGCTATTGTGTAAAATGAGATAAATCAAACAGACTATTTTTATATATAACGTTATACCCGAAGTCTTGATCTCGTTTGGACGCTGCGCACGTTTTCCAGGACACCTAAACATAGTTGGCGACCCTAAAGCACGTTAGCATTGTTGTTTTTCAAGCGAAAAGAGGAGATTGATTAAAACAGGTAAGTTAAAGGTTATTCTTGGGGTGTTTGGTGTGGTGCTTGTCTGTTTTACGTAGTAACTCCTGCGATTAGAGAGTTGAATGAAGTGCTAGTTTGTTGACACACTGCCTGATGGTGGCCAGAAACGAAAACGCGTTTTGTTCCTCATCGCAGCCCGTAACTGCAGAGCAACTCATGTGGGTTGCTTGGTGAAAAGTTTAATTGGTGTATATTAAGATATTTACTAATCATTTTCTATACGTGGAAAAACACACACATTACATCTAATAGATGTTTTATAATTTTATAAAAACTTTTTAATTAACGCCCTTTCACTCACAATGGAGTGTACTTGATCATAAATGAAAGCTTAAATGTTGTGTATTGTGTGTAAAAGCACACCACGTGGAATGACCCACTGGTTTACTGTCTAACTTGTGATATCAGAGTTCACTCTGCGTAGATAACTACTCTACCGTTGCCTTGAGTGTTCAGACAAGTGTCACTATTAATATTTAATAACTAAAAGATGATGGCTTTGTCTCCTTCAGCTCTATGCCGGCAGACATGACCATGTTGGCAGATCACACAGCACGACAGTTGCTGGACTTCAGTCAAAAGCTCGACATCAATTTACTGGACAATGTGGTCAACTCCATGTACTATGATGTGGGATCTCAGGTATTCAGTAGTTCATGACTAGAGGTCATTCTGATCCTTTAAACGTTTATCGTACATTTAAAGATGTTTTTTGCTTTATTTCAGCAAAGACTGGCACAAGAAGTTCTCACCAACCTGAAGGACCATCCAGATGCCTGGACCAGAGTGGACACCATATTGGAGTTCTCGCAGAACATGAAGACTAAAGTATGTTTAGTCCAGCTATTGAACGTAGGCATGGGACGGTATAAGAGTTTGGCAGTATGATAACCATGGCAGGGTTCAACGGCTAAGGATATTTTTTACTAGCCCGATTGGACCAGCGGTGCAGATTTTTACTTGCCCTGCCAAAATTTTCACAGGCCCCGCACCAAAAAAAAATTATAGCTATTTCTTAGCCACATATTTTAAATAATGTGTCAAAAATAATGTCTGTGAATCTAGAATTTAAATATTCAGAAAATGTTAAAATATTTAGCAGTAAAATATAGCAGTATGGAAAATGTGCAGGTATTTTATTGCTAAACAAAAGGTGGCGGACTTAAAAGTGATGACAAACTATACAAAACATCACTTCATTTTTTTTCCTGGTGTTGTACACATGTTAATGTCTGTTTCCACAATGTTAGAAACAGATGTTTTCTTTTAGCCTCATCATTTGATGTTGTCGTCTCTGCACTGTACTGGTTTTTACCAGGTTATGGAAAAAATAACATGCTCACAACATCCAATCAGATAAGAGGAACCGAAAAGCAATATGGTGTTTACGACTTCACAGAAAAGGTAGCATTCAAAGACTTAAAAGAACTAATTGTTTCTCAATTCTAACACTGTATTTGCATACAGTTGACAAATTGTCGCTGGCAAATAAAAATTTAGTGACAAGGCAGTTAGATCATTAATTTAGTGACCATTCTGTCTACTGTCCCGAGCATCTCTCACTTTGGACCCAGGTCATCGGGCAGTCCTTATTGTTGAGCCCTGCATGGATAAAAATATCATGGTTTCATCGTATTGTGATTCTTTTTAAATGTCTGGGTAAAAAACAAAAACTTTTTTCCCCATTAAACACAATATATTTTATTTTAAGAAACGTTTTAACTAGGCATGGGTTGGTATAAGATTCTGACGGTATGATAACCTTGGATAAAAATATCGCGGTATTGTGCTCAAGGCTCTAAAATATATATTTTTTTAATGTCTGGGTAAAAACCAAAACCTTTCTTTCCCTTTTGAATACAATATATTTTATTTTTTGAAAGATTTATAATATTTTGGAACAGTAAACATGTCAGGCTAAATAATTTAAATGAATTATTGACTGTTGCCGTCTTTATTTGTTTTAAAAACACTGATTTCTTTACAATTTAAAACGGCATCTTAGGATATCTTTTTCTACTGGAGATACTGCTATTCTAAAAATCAATCAAACAAACAAAAAAAATAAAAGTCTTGCACACACCTTAGGAACGGTATTACAGAAAATTTGGGGAGGTTTCAAAACCTTGATTTTTTTTTTTTATTTTTTTTTTTCCCAAATGACGGTATACCTGGGGTCTGTTCTTCATACCTCGCCTAAATGATCTAAGGCAGGGGTGTCCAAACTCTGTCCTGGAGGGCTGGTGTCCTGCATAGTTTAGCTCCAACTTTTTTAACACAGCTGCCTGGAAGTTTTAAGTAAACCTAGAAAGAGCTTAATTAGCTGGTTCAATTCAGTTAAATTGGGGTTAGAACTAAAATATGCAAGACAACGGCCCTCCAGGACTGAGTTTTGGTACCCCTGTTCTGAGATGACTTAACAGATCCTGAATCTTTTAGTCTTGATGACTGATCTCTGGCGAATTTAGTTCTTCAAACTATTTCGCAAATCAGATTAAACTGTCTGGATGAACTCATCTGAGATTTTTGCGTGTGTTGTGAAGGATAGATCTATTGATCCTCGAATATATGATCAGCAATTGGCTAACGGCACAGCAGCGTAATGACATCATCTGATTAATATTCAATTATCAATGTGAGCAAAGTTGCATGAAATTTGTAGTAAACTGTTTTAATGTTGCGCAATAACTTTCCACCGTTGTTGTGGGGTGCAGGCTTTACACTTTCATGTGTCAAGAGTATTTAGCTATTATTTTTACATTTAAAGTGCATTTTCTTTATTATAGTAGCATAAGCTTATTTAAGTTTCTTAATCAGTGTTAGGAATAACTGTTTAAGTTTAAATCCAAAAATCATTTTGATATTAATAAAGGTGAAACTTTTGCGAATCATCAAATCATGGTCATATCAGCTGTCAAAACGTGCATGATTTCATAAATGATGATTTCTTTAAAAAAATATATATATTGAAATTGTACCAAAGCTGGTACCTTACAATTGTATGCGTTTGTATCTAAAAAAAGTCTATGTTAATAAATGTTCTGTTTGAACCCCTTAAAGAGAAGTTTTATTTATATAAAATATTTAACTATACTATTTTCCCAAATGTATACAACTACTGTATGAAAATATCAGCATTTGGTACATACTTTCAGTATTAGCTGTGAAATGAGCCGATTTAATCCTGTTTGTATGAAATGTGCCTGCTCATGAGCAGGTTTGAGCTACCAGAACTGTTACTATGATAACAACTCTCAGATGAGTTTTGAAGAATGAAATGATCCTGAATTGTCAAATCATCAATAATGAAATCCAGCTAACTAAATTATCCAAGTACGAAGAACAGACCCCATGAGCCACAGTTGAAAAAAAAAAAAAAACATAATTTGTTTTTCCACTATGAAACAACTCCACAAATTCCCCCAACATTTGATCATTTGCAGATATTTAAACATTCAATTTTAGTGAAGTCTATACAGGGTTATTTTACATTTGATAATTTAATTCATCTATCTGTACTACTAGAAAACTATAAAGCACTGTTCATTTTTATTTGTTTTTTTGCTACTGTATTTACCAATGGTTGTGATTGGTCTTTTGTATTTTATGCAGTACTGCTTTTCAAAATTATCTTAATCAATTCAAAACAACAAATTCTCTCCAAATAGAGCCCAAATTATGCCCAATATTGCAATATGTAAAATAAAATATTGCAATGTCTGTTTTTCCCCCCCCCTTTTTGCTCAGCCCTACTTTTAAAAGCTGCTTTTGCTCTAAAAAACTAAATAAAATAGTCGAAAAACATGTAAAAAAAAACAAAAAAAAAAAAAACGTACATATACCATAGAAACGGTATAACAGAAAATGTTAGCGGTTTTAAAACCTTGACTTCTCCAAACCCAAGAAAACCTTAAAACCGGTTGTCATCCCATGTCTAGTTGAACATCAATCCTAATAATTCCACAGCATTAAGCTATTGTTTAATCTTTTTTTTTTGTGATTTGTATTACAGTACTACGCTCTACAGATACTAGAGACGGTGATTAAAACACGCTGGAAGATTCTTCCACGAAACCAGTGTGAAGGTGATGTCCTTTTTCAGACCTGTAAAATGTTTGCTTTGTTCTGAAGTATGCAATTCATTTGATCGCCTTGCATTTTCTTAGTTCGGTTTGCATTTCAAAGTGTACTGAATGTGCTAATGTAATTATGCAAGTCACCTGTTAATACAGCTGTTGTTTCATTGGTCAAAGCTGTTTGTGTTCCTCTGCATCATCTCTCAAGATTGACAAGTTTGTGCTTCAAGGGTTTTGTGGCTTTATCTGTAGCTGCTGTGACTCACGCAATATGAATGCAGCTGTCATTCACACTTTAACTGATAAATTGTTTAGATTTACTTGTATTAAATTGCACAGGTTTAATTGTAGAAATAGCTAACAATACATTGTATGGGTCAATTACTATTAGTATTATTATTTTTATTTATTATTATTATTATTATTTTTATCATTAGAATGTTAACCCTTGTGCATCCCTAAGGACATTTTTGTCTTTTTCAGTTGAGCTTTTTTGATAATGTTCCCTGTGATTAATGTAATTTGCATAAATTTTAGCACAGGCATGTATTTTTATTGGAATTTAAAATATATTTCCTCAAATTAGTATTATTATTATTTATTTTTTTATACTTGGTGCAAAATAAAGTTCCTTTTAGGGCCTTCAAGACAAGAGAAAACCAGTATTTAAGGGGGTAGAATTAAAAAAAAAAAATCAATGCATATTTGGTACAGTAATTATGATTAGAACTGATGCTGATGAGAACATCAATGCCAGTTAAAGTAGAAAAAATATTTAGATTTTAATGGAATGGACATTTTAGTTCATAAAGGAGCTGAGTGGCACACTACATAAATAAAAAGAATGCTGGTGGTTATCATTGACACATCCAAGACTAATTAACAAAATCAAAATTAGCTTGACGTATAGTACATGAAAGTTGACGAATGTTTTTTAACTGTCATTTTTGTAAACAAACCAGCATTTTAAAGATTTAAAATTCTGAAAATTAACGAAGTATTATGATTACAACTGATGCTCAAAAATCTACATCTGTGAAAATAGAAAAAAATTAATATATATTTTTGTGGTCTTTTTAGGCAATGACATTTGTCTTTTTTTTCCTGCATTGAGGAGCTTCTTTTTTTAGGATGCATGAGGGTTTATAAAAGATCATGTTGCTTTAAAAAAAAAAATTACTTTTCCTACTGTAAACTATAATAAATTATAATTTGAATTACAATCAAAATGTAACTTAATTTAGCCAAGAAGTTAATTTGAGCAACTTTAAAGGCAATTTTCCAAATATTTAGATTTTTTTGACCCCTCAGATTACAGGTATTCCAGTATCTTTATCTCAATTAAAATAGTTCTGTCTTAACAATCCAAACATCAATGAAAAATGTATTCATTCATGATTTTTGTTTCATTTTCCAAAAATGTACCTTTATGACTGGTTTTGTGGACCAGGGTGATATTTCAATTAAAATATGCAATTTCTCATACAATTTAAAGCTTCGTTTTTTTCAGCATTCTTCCATTGCACAGATAAAACAATGACACAACACTTTTATTATGTTTTTATTTTTATACATAAAGCAGTTTACAAACAAATACTAGACATTCCATGACAGCAGCAGCAGTTCAGTTAATAAAAGAAAAATAATCAATAGATGAAAATTGAAGGCATATTTTAAAGAACACAAGTGGGAATAAGTAAAGGTTTATTTTCCAGGTGTCAATTTTTTGTTTCAGCTGTGATAACTGATGTTCTTACTCAAATAATCACACACTGCTTCTTTTTCTATATAACATTTATTGTTATGAATTGTGATACTGCTTGGTTTGTTGGTCCATTTAGTCAGATTGCTCCAGAAATCATTTCAGGTTATTGTTTTGGTGCAAATCATTGCAATGTTAATATATGCCCAAATGAACCAAACTAAGAAAACACGCAGAGTTTCAAAAACAAACACTTATGCATAAACCGCTTTAGTCTCAGTGGAAGAGCTACATATAAACATAGTGTCATATAAAATGCTGGAATTGACATCTCCATTGGGGTTTTGTCTCGTATCTGTTAAAGTGCTCTAGAATTCATTTCAGGTGATTGTTTATGTGCAAATCAGGGCACAATTGCTCCTTGTATGCCACAAAATACTTAAATGAACCAATAAAGAAGAAAGTATGCAGGATTTCAAAAACATATTATAAACAAGTCTTGCATAGACTGCTTTAATATCAATGCAAAAACTATATAGATTAATGTCATGTGCAAACCTGGAACTGACATCTCTGTTCTACACAGGAATTAAGAAGTATGTTGTTGGGCTGATAATCAAGACTTCATCTGATGCCAACAGCGTGGAGGTAATAAAATTTCTCTTGATTTTTATTTATATATATATATATATATATATATATATATATATATATATATATATATATATATATATATATATATATATATATTAATCTGGTCTCATGAAATCTTGTGCATGCATGTTTTTGAGCCCTTATTCAATCTTTTTTTTACTTGTGTAAATGTGTGTAAATATATACATTTATTTATATTTTTATATTAGTTTCATAAATATTTGTAAGTTATATGCTCCTGTTTAGATAACTTATGTACAGTACAATTTGTTAATTGATTGTCTTTTAGAGAATGTATTGCATGAAGTCTTTTGTACCTTTGCTTAGCAAACAAGTGGTTTTAATTGGATTTGGAATGTATTTTTTAATTAGTTTTTTTTTTTTGTGTTGGGTTTTCAGCTCTTGCTCTCTCAAAATCATTTAGCATAAATCCACAGATTTCTTTATAAAATTCTGTGCAGAAATAGCAAAAACAAATATACAAGTTCCTAATCTCTAATAGCTAATTTATTTAGTCTTCTCCACAGTGACAGTACTGTAAAATACTAGTATTCATCCTAAGATGCTGTTGAATGCTTAATTGGGTTAAAAGTCATTGAACAACAGTGGTTTATTCTGTAGACCGTTAAAAAAACCCATTTCTTTATTTAGCAAACTTCAACTTCAGTTAATGGATCTCCTCCACACTGACTTGTATTTTTGCTTTCAGAAAGAGCAGGTGTACATATCGAAGCTCAACATGATCCTGGTGCAGGTAAGTGTGGTTTCAGGAATGTTTGTGGTCCTAGTCATGTTTATTGTATTTTGCTGATGTTCTGTTCCTGTGTGTGTATAGATCCTGAAGCAGGAGTGGCCCAAACACTGGCCCACATTCATCAGTGATATAGTGGGAGCGAGTCGCACCAGTGAGAGTCTGTGTCAGAACAACATGATAATCCTGAAGCTGCTCAGTGAGGAGGTGTTTGATTTCTCCAGTGGTCAGATGACTCAGGTCAAGGCCAAACACCTGAAGGACAGGTACAGATGTCCTGTCAAACATGCCACAATTACAGACCATGTCAGTGGTGCTGTTGGGATGTGGTTGGCAAGATAATTGTTGTAATTTCTCTCTTTTTTTTTTTTTTCCTCTTTCAGTATGTGCAACGAATTTTCCCAAATATTCCAGCTATGCCAGTTTGTAATGGTATGTTTGAAGCACAAAATCACAGTACTAATAAAGTATTTGTTTTGATAATTAAGTGCAATTTAGATCTCTCTGGGCTGCCCTTCTTTATTTAAATATAATGCTGTTTTCTTCAGGAAAATTCCCAGAATGCCCCTCTGGTTCATGCCACATTGGAGACACTCCTTCGTTTTCTCAACTGGATTCCCCTGGGCTACATATTTGAGACCAAACTCATCAGCACGCTGGTGTACAAGGTAACATAAGACAAGCTTTTCTTGTGTTAATATTTAAAGAAGCAATTTTATTTTGGAATTTTAATTTTTCTTTTATTTATGAGGCCTCATAACCTTTGATTAAAGTATTAAATATACAATTTACAATATGATAACATCTGATTGGCATTTAATTGCATAGTGGTGGGATAAACCTGTCACTCACATGAGATCCACCAATAGCGTTCCACAACCATCCAATCAATTCCTAGTAGGCATAATTAAGACACTTGTTGTTTTTCTTGTGATTGTGTCGTTGAATTTTTTATTTTTTTTTTCCAAAATATATTAATTGCCTTTTTTCTCTTTTGAACTGAAAATGACAAACTTATTATAAAATATTGAATCCTTGGGAATAAAAAAATTAAAATGTGTCTAAAAATAAATGTATAAAAAATACATTTAAATTAGTGCCTGGAAAAGATTAATCACAATTTATCACATCCAAAATAAATATATTTTTCTCAAATATATGCATGTATGGGTGTATTTATACTGAATATACATAATAAATATACACAGCACTAAGGATGCAACGATTAACAGATTTAACTATTAACTGTGATTTACTGTGTGATTAACTGTGATTCGTCCCGGTTAATCGTAATGGTTTCTCAACACGTGTTTCTGCATGGAACAAAACTGCTGCAACTAAGCAAAGGTATGCCAACTGTGTTTTAGTTTGAATTGTGCACACAAGTTTCAATGGAAGCGCGCATTTTGCGTGTACATATTGGGAGCAATGTGCTCACAATTTCCAGGTGCACCTAGTTTAATGCCGTGAGTGCACCATGGGTCACGTGACAAGAACTGACAGATCAGCGTCATACTTTGTCTGGAAAATACACATTTCTACTCCGAAGAGAATAAAATAAAAATGCCAAGCAATTTTGTAATCATACACTACGATTACAAAATTGGTTGGCTTTTTTATTTTCTATTTTCTTGATCAATAGTGCCTTTCAGACAGCGGTTTAGCAGTCTTTAACTACATTTGTTCTAAAAGGGAAATACTTAGCTAATATGTAGCTTATATTTACATTAGACGAAAATAAAAATATATATATTTTTTAAATTCATTGTTCTGTTGTTTATTTTATGTAAAGTTATTACTTGTTTAAATATCAAAAACATTTTTTTCACTTATTTTTAAGTCTTTAATTGTATTGGACTATTGTTTTTTTATTATTATTATTTGTTACTGTATTTAGTTACTGAGCAGCAATAAATAACACTTAAAGAGTAAGGAGTTTTCATAGGATTTTTTAAACTACTAGTGTTTTGAAACCGTGACTATAATCGTACAACCAAAATCTATAATCGTTGCATCCCCACACAGCGCACACATGTATCATGTCAACAAAGCTTTACTTTGGATGAGTTTAATTTTTGCCCAACACTGATTGAAATAAAATACATTTTATTAAAAAAAAAAACTGAGCATTAGATTTCGCTGTTTTCTAATGGTGATTCAGTTTATTACATTAAAACACTCATGTAGCAGCACACAGACTGCTGTCACTCCTCTCACAAAGGCGCACTGTCATTGGTCCAGCTTGCCATTGCGTAAGAAAGAGAGGAATATTATTGGAGCGCTGGCTTTTGTCATGGACTCTCTGCTCAAAGCTTTGTGCCTGAGCTGGTGCTCCTACATTTATATCTGCTCACTCATTGAAGATCGCAGACTTTTTTAGAAAGTGTAACTTGTTTTCTGGCTTCTTCCACAGTTTCTGAATGTTCCGATGTTCCGGAACGTCACTCTGAAGTGTCTGACTGAGATCGCAGGTGTCAGTGTCAGTCAGTACGAGGAGCAGTTTGTGAACCTGTTCACACTCACCATGATGCAGCTCAAACAGGTACACACACAACACACACACACACACAGTCACTTTCTTCGGAAGAAACTGATACTTGTTTTATTTAAGGGACCACTCACCTAAAAAGAAAAATTGTCATTATTTACTCCTCCGCTTTCCAAATCTTCATTCCAAATCTTTCTTTGTTCTGTCGAGCACAAAGGATCATGTACTAAAGAAAGCTGGAAAAAAATTCTGTTTAAATTTCTCTTTATTTGTATACTGCTTTTACAATGTAGATTGTCAAATCAGCTTAACATAGAAGTTTTAGTAAATTGAAACCGTGTCAGTCCAGTTTTCAGAGTTAAAGTTCAGTGTGGTTTCTTTTTCACTGCTCAAAGTTCAAACACTGATGAGCAAATCCATCTCACAAGTCCCAAACCAAGAAAGCCAGTGGCAACAGTGGAGAGGAACAACTTCATCAACTGACGAAAGTGAAGGAAAACCTTGAGTTAATCCAGGCTCAGTTGGACGTGACAATTTCTCCTCTGGCCAAGCTTTTTGTGCAGAGCTGCAGTCTAGGCGCTGGAGGCTGCCATTGACTTTCTCAGTATTTTTTTGTTCTTGCTTTGGATGCCAATGGCTGCTTTTTAAATCATTATTTAGTATATCCTGTTTGTGTTCAACAGTAGAAATAAGTTCATTGAAGTTTAGCACCTCCTAAATGTGAGTAAATGAGGACTTTTCATTTCTGAGTGAACTGTCCCTTTAAATTGTTCAAAATTGGCCCTGATAACTTGTTACAAACACGTTTTTCATAAAGGCTGTTCTTTTAAACGTTCCGTTCATCAATGGATCCTGGAAAAATGTCAAGATTTTCAGAAAACTAAAGAAGCTCTGGTTTAAGCATTAATGTTCAGAGATGTTTTTTTTGAGCAGCAAATCGACATTTTAATAGGATTTTGTAGGATTGTGTGACAGAATAAAAATAAAATGCTGAAAATTCAGCTTTGAAACAGTAATAATCACATTTTAAAATTTGAGCGCATTAAAAACAGCTTTTCAATATTATAATACAATTTCTCATTTTTTCCTCTCTTTAATCAAATGAAGGCAGCTTTGGTCAGCAGAAGAGACATTGTTCACAAGCACTAATGAGATATTTTTTTTAGAAATGAAAATGACATCACGTCTGCAAACATTGATCTATTCTGTGGTCATACTGTGATTGGCAGATGCTCCCGCTGAACACAAACATCCGTCTAGCGTATTCAAATGGAAAAGATGACGAGCAGAACTTCATCCAGAACCTCAGCCTGTTCCTCTGCACCTTCCTCAAAGAGCACGGGCAGCTGATCGAGAAGAGACTAAACCTCAGAGAGACTCTTATGGAGGTAAACACGCACACACTGAAATCTAGAGAAATCATGCTGAAGAAATACATGGAGAAAAAGCATGTTCTTCACTCTACTAAGGGTTCTGTATAATCCATGTCTTGGGGATCCACTCCAGGTTTTTTCATTCGCTCACAGAAAAATTGATCAGTCTACTCCATTTTATAAGTTATATGTCTCACGAAGGCCTGAACACAACATCTGTAATGCTATGTTTAATGGTTTGGGAATTATTTAAAAGGTTTAATAAATTAAATTACACCAACTTAAATTTGTCCTTTTTTTTTACTTTTCTAATGCAAAAAAATACCAAATACTTTACAGATATTTATTTAAAAACATGCTAAGTTAACATACTTGTTTAACTATAGCTTTTAAAATACACAAACTTTCAATATTAAATGAATTTAAAACATCTGTTCTTTAAATTCTATTATTGTCAGCTATTTAATGTTAAAGGAATGTGGCCATGTTCTGAACTGTGGCTCCTGTTCAGCTATAATTTAGATCCTCATTGACGTACTGCGATGTGACTTTGCGATATCCATGCTTAAATGATATCTCATGTAGTCCTAACTCACTAACAGTGGTAATCTGCCTCCCATGTGCACAGGCCCTGCACTACATGCTGCTAGTGTCTGAGGTGGAGGAGACGGAGATCTTCAAGATCTGTCTGGAGTACTGGAACCATCTGGCTGCTGAGCTCTATAGAGAGAGTCCCTTCTCCACATCCACATCTCCACTGCTCTCAACCAGCCAACACTTTGACGTGCCGCCTCGTAGACACCTGTACCTACCCGTGCTCTCCAAGGTCAGTCAGCTAATTATCTAGGCTAATTATCTGTTTTGTTTTTATGTGATAATTTATAAGCTTTTAATTGATAATTGATTTTAAGTGTTATCATGATGTAAGCAGCATAAGGAGCTGTTCATTCTATGTGTTTTTTCTTTTAAATGCTCTACTTTTTTACTGTTTTTCAAAGTAAATACACTGGTTGGACAGGTTTGACCGTTACGTTTGCATCTTATAAAGCGCTTTGCACGTAAACGTCACTTTTTTTTTTTAGCTATTGTGTCAAACTGAAAGATCTTTAACTTGCACAAGCAGCGCAGCTCATCACTATCAGGTCAAGAAGCAGTGGACCAATGAGAAGAGCGTGGAAGAGGGGAAAGCGTTGCAAGCTTCTGTTTATAGTAGTGTTGCCATGACAACTGTTTTATTTATCGTTATATCATGGCAGGGGTGACGTTCCTTGTGACTTTGTCCAGACATACCGAGTTATGATGCATCTTCAATCGCTTATAACATTGTTTTCCCATTGCTAATGAGTTCGTTGTTGTCATTACATCACGTTCATAATATTGCGTCACATGGACCTCGTGCTGCACTGCGCTTTTTTTAAAAAACCCATTCTTGAGCACTGCGTCTTGCATTTTTAGAAGCATCGTGTGAATGAGCCCGAATAAAGTTGCTTTAAAGCATAAGTCTCAAACTGCACAAGCAGTTTTGCTCCAATTTTAATCAAACAAGACTACTTTCAAGACTACTAGAGACTATGAAGCAGGTGTAAGTTGGAGGTGGTTGAAACAAAATTACGCATAGCTGCGGCCCTCCAGAAATTGAGTTTGAGACCATTGTTGTAAAGTAACACTAGAAATAAATGCTGGACAATTGTGCTTGTCAACCACAAGAGGGAGCTATGAGCAGAAAAGTTGCATTGTGTTGCTTGAACGCCGCATTCACTTTGAAGGGGTGACGTCAGGCGTTGCCGAACTACATCGTGAAACCGTCGGTGCTGCTTCAGAGGCGTTGCTCGCTGCAGAAGTTGGGACTTGCTCAACTTTTCAAGCGCCGACAGAAGCGTCAGCCAATCAGATCGCTGTATCCAAATACACCAGCTCAGACAGTGGTCTATTGCTGACTAATTTCATTGGCTGACGCTGCTATGACGATCACGTCAGCCCCAACTTCAGACACGCCCTCTGTCAAGTGTTGATGCTGAAGCCCCGTGTGAATGGGGTGTAACTGGTATTATAACCAAAACAAGAGTTGATTATTTTGTAAATATTCAGAGGAAACTCTTTTTTTTTTCCAACAAAGTATTAAGTTCTAAACAAGTTTACTTGTATAAAGACGCTTAGTTGTTTGTTAAAACGTTAAGGTGTATACATTTATACTAATGTTTCAAAAAAATCTTTTTTTGTGAAGCTGTAAAGCAACAGGGCAATAAAGAATTGAGTCAGTATGTTAATATGTCATAAATAATAAAATGAATACTCTGTAAAGCCTTCAAGCATTTGGTGCTGTGATGAACAACATGATAACAAAATCCTGCATGCTTCTATGTGGTATCATAAGATTGCATAATTGAATGCATGTCTAAAATGCACTTCAGAGTTTTTTGGTGGGAGGAAATGCTCAGTGTGTTCTTGACTCTTTCAGGTGCGTTTGCTCATGGTGAGTCGCATGGCCAAACCAGAGGAGGTTTTAGTGGTGGAGAACGATCAGGGCGAAGTGGTGAGAGAGTTCATGAAGGACACCGACTCCATCAACCTCTACAAGAACATGAGGGAGACTCTGGGTAATTGACTGAGCTTATTCAGATAGAAAGATGTTACAGCAACCATGTATTCAAGAATTTTCTGGTATGTCGTGGAATTTTAGAAGGTCCATTCCAGACATAGAAAGTCAAGGAACTGTGGTTTCGTCCAATTTATGGAATGTTAGGGATTTTTGTTTGCATTACTTTCTATTTGTCAATTTTATTTCTGTACAGCGTTTTTTTTTTTCTACCCCCTTTTTTCATGCTTATTATACATTGCATATAGTTAAATTATGCATGTTGTGAATATTAAAGTTCTGCAAATTGTTTTTTAACTGTAACTATTTTAATATGGTTATTATTTTAACTAGGGCTGAACTATATATCCAAAATGGATTTTATAGCAATAATAGTCTATGCAAACAATAATTAAAAGTACAATCATTTCTACTAATTTTATATGCCAAGCATTTGTGTGCTGCATGCATAAGTTTATTCAATTCTGACCAATCAAATGTGGCCTTTACTATTTACCTCCACACCTCTTTGTTAGTTGAAAATCCTAATAGAGCTGAAAATAAACACTAATGCTGGGAGACGAGAGGAAAATGACATCAGCAAATAAGAACCTGGATTTCAGTCAATAGTGTTTTTTTTAAAGTCTAAATGTCAGAGAAGGGTCTGGATGCAGACCTGGTGCAGTGCAGTCTGAGCTGCATCCAATGCTTTTTAAAGCGCTCACCTAACCCTACCCGTCACAGTGATGTCACTCACTCCATTGAGTGCATAGTGTCTGACATTGCATCACTGAGTGATGCAATCTCAGCTTGCATCATAAAGGCTGCATCCAGATACTATTGAAATGTTTGCACCTTGACAGTTTTTGATTTAATTGTCTCATAAAAATATCCATGACCTGTTCATTTTAGGATTATTGTCGTAAGTTATTTTTAAATGGCTGATAAAATAGCATGTTTCAAGTAATTTATATAAATAAGAAATGTCTATTGCAACGACAATATTGCCTATCACATATAATCCCAATATTGTGCAGCCCTAATTCTAACATATTATTGTAATATTATTAATAAATGAGCACAACAGTGGCCTGTTTTTTAGTTCATTAGATGTCATGAAAATTCTGCATTTTAGTCTGTGGAAGTCAGTGAATTTTAAGTTTGGTTTAAAATGGGAATATTGCTGGAGGAAGCTTCATCTTGATCTCTTTCTCCTCTCCAGTCTACTTGACTCATCTGGATTATGCTGATACTGAGCGTATCATGACTGAAAAGCTTCACAATCAGGTGAATGGCACCGAATGGTCCTGGAGGAACCTGAACACGCTGTGCTGGGCCATCGGCTCCATTAGCGGAGCCATGCATGAGGAGGACGAGAAGAGATTCCTCGTCACAGTCATTAAGGTGGTTATTGTTGCATTTTTAATACTGCAGACAGTTTATCAGGAAACGTTCAGGTAGTCTGAAAATAGTCTTGTTTATTATTATTATTATTATTATTATATAATATTCACAATCCTGTATTTATCAAGTGCATTTAATTATTTAAAAAAGTGTTCAATAAAAAGGCTTTATTGAACTAAGCCGACAAGAATTGTTTTTTTTTTTTTTATTCTTTCACAAACGGTTTTCAGATAAAGCACTCAATTCAACATTGATGATGATGATGATGATGATAGTCATTATTGTGTTTTGGATAGTCAAATCATGACAATGAGTTTTGATTGTGTGACAAGAGTAATAGAGGGTAATTTAGCTCTGAATAAATGATTGTTACTTTTTACAATATTATCACAATTTATTAATCTTTGACTGTTTTTATAATTACATGCAGCATCAGGGAACAGGATGAACATCTTACAAAATGTTTGATTAATAGGCTGTGCACTGTTGCTGTATATTATGATTTAATTTTGGCATAGTTTGAAGGCTAAAACATTTAATCAATATTTCTGTTTCTGTGTCAGGACCTGCTTGGTCTGTGTGAACAGAAAAGAGGGAAGGACAACAAGGCCATCATCGCCTCCAACATCATGTACATCGTCGGCCAGTACCCACGATTCCTCAGGGCCCACTGGAAGTTCCTCAAGACCGTTGTTAACAAACTCTTTGAGTTCATGCATGGTGAGGAAACACCTTTCTGTCCATCATGCGAGGGCTGTGCAGTTAATTATAAAAAACGTTTCAATTTCAGCCTCCAATGATTATGAAAATACAGTAATGGGTAAAACGATTACAGCGAGGGACTTTATAGTCTTTATAAAAACAAGTTCCTGCAGTGAGGACCATTCTTTATTTTACGTCGGAATTATTCCTTTTTTTATAACCTGTATATTTGATTTATCATTATTTAATTAAATCACTCCTTATAAAGTTTTTTATTTTTTGGTCATATGACCCACTCATATAAAATAATCATGATTGTCATGATTAACTCATGATTGATGATGGTAAATAATCATGATTAAAGCATTGACCAAAATAATCCTAATTATGATTGTTGCCATAATCGAGCAGCCTTTTACATATCATGCATGCTTAATTTTTGTTTTGTTAGTTTTTTTTTAGCTAAAGTACCATTTTAGTTTGTAAAGTACCTGAATTTCAGACATATGGATTCAAGTCCTGGAAAGTACCTGAAACATGGGTCCTTAAAAGTGCTTGAATTAAATGTGAAATGAAATTCGTTTTTGACTTTATTTCAGAAGTTGTACTGTGCTGCTGTCTGAAACAGAAACACAGAGAAATTCTTCATTTAAAAATACTACA